CAAAATGGTGAGCCATTTGCATAACCCATGCACATTCTCCCATATACTCTTAAGTCATCTCTGGATTACTTATAATACCGAGTACATTGTAAATGCTATGTAAATACCTAGATGTGCTGCATTGCTTAAGAAATAACGACAAGACAAAAGCCTGTATGTGTTTTGTTCAGATGTGGACACCACAAGCCTGACTAGATAGTACACCTGCCAGCCACGAGGCTCAACAAATGCCCCAGACGCTGGAGGTCTGTGGGACAGCAGTCACCTACAGCAGGGCATGCCCACAATGCCAGCTCATTTGCATGGATCCAGCACAGTGCTCGCTCGGCATGTGGCAAATTCAGTTCTCTTTCAACTTTCTCCAACTCTTTTTTAAAAAAGAGATTTATGGGCCACGGACAGCCCAAAGCCTTGGGACCCTGCACCTGTGTGGGAGACCTGGAAGAAGCTCTGGACTCCTGGTTGTTATATCAGTCCAACTTTGGCCACAGTGGCCTTGCAGGGAGTGAACCAGTGGATGCAAGACCTTTTCTTTGTCTCTCCTTCTCTGTAAATTTGCTTTTGCAACAAAAATACATCTTTAAAACAGAGAAAAGGGGCCCGGTGGCATGGCCTAGTGGCTAAAGTCCTCACCTTGAATGCGCCGGGATCCCATATGGGCACTGGTTCTAATCCTGGCAGTCCCACTTCCCATCCAGCTCCCTGCTTGTGGCCTGGGAAAGCAGTTGAGGACGGCCCATAGCTTTAGGACCCTGAACCCCTATGGGAGACCCGGAAGAAGCTCCTGGATCCTGGCTTCGGACTGGCATAGCATCGACCATTGAGCTCACTTGGGGAGTGAATCATCGGATGGAAGATCTTCCTTTCGGTCTCTCCTCTTCTCTGTATATCTGACTTTCCAATAAATAAATAAATATTTAAAACAGAGAAAAGAAGATAAAAGAAACACTGAGAATGGGAAAAAGAGCCTAGGTGGAACCAAGGGGAAATCCAACAGGGAACAGGAAGGCAAAATCCTTTCCTTAGGCTTTCATTCTCACTACACCAAACATCAAGTGATTCTTGTCGATTAAACTCTACAATGCCCCAAGTTCTCGTTAGCAGGTCCTCATCATGTCTGAAAATTCCGTGAAGGTAATCCAAAGACCCTGAAGAGCTTCAGGCATTATTTTTCAAATTCCAGGTCATGACTCAATGGGTCATGAAATTAATTTGCTGAGCCCTGATTAGCATTTTTAAAATGAGATGAGTAGAAGGGGAAATTTCAAAGTGTACCACACGCAAAAGGCATCTACACTACCGTGCCTGATGAGCTTATGCCCTGAACTGCTCCAAAGGTCATGTGTGAGGACACTTCAAGAGGTTGGTGGAAAAACAGAATTAAAAGATATTCATTTTTGTGCTAAAAGATTTGAAATTCATACATAGTTTTTCATGATATGCATTTTCCATCATTTTTTAAAATTAATTTTTAGAAAAAGTTTGCTTATTTCTCTGATAGGCCCAGTGCCGAGAAAAGGAAAGACAGGGAAAACGACCTTCCTGTAGCTATCACTAAAGGGTCTAGCTGGGTCAGACTGAACCAAGAACTCCACCCTGGCCTTCCACAGGGCTGGCAGGGACCCAAGAACTCAGGGTCCTCTCACTGCCTTCCCAGGCAAATTCATAGGAAGCTGAATCTGAAGTGGAATAGCTGGGACTCACACTAGCACTATGATATGGAATGGCAGTGTTGCAAGCAGCATTTTAACTCTTTGTGCCACAATGCCAGGGTCCCCCACCACCCACCCTAACTCAACTCCTTTTTAAAGACTGGCCCATAGGCATGGATTTCAAAAATTGTTTTACAACAAAATAAACTTACGTTTGAATTCCATATCCCATGAATCTTCTGAAGTATCCTGGTACAACTGTCAAGTCTCTCTTTTTTTTTAAAGATTTATTTGTTTTTATTGCAAAGTCAGATACACAGAGGAGATAGAGAAGATCTTCCATCCACTGGTTCACTCCCCAAGTGGTTGCAATGGGTAAAACTGCACTGATCCAAAAGGAGGATCCAAAGCCAAAGCTTCTTCCAGGTCTTCCACGTGGACAAAGGGTCCCAAGGCGTTGGGCCGTCCTTGACTGCTTTCCCAGGGCACAAGCAGGGAGCTAGACCAGTCGGGACACAAACCATATGGGATCCTGGTGCATGCAAGGCAAGGTAGCCACCAGGCCACCATGTCGGGGTCTCCAGACCTCTCACAATCGAGTCATTTAGCTGTCTCCCCTAGAGTGTGTTCGAGTCAGACATGAGCCACTGCCTTTGGTCTCTGACAGTGCCATCTGCCGCCTCCCAGGTAAGGGGCCCAGTAAGGCTTACCTCCACAGAGCCCAACCCCTTCTCACTAGTCCCACCACTTCCACCCTGCTTCACACGACCACCAGCTCGGCTCCCTCCAGCCTAAGAGGCCTCTCAGGTGCCACCCCAGCTCCTTCGCAGGTCTGTCCTCACTGTCCACAGCCACAACAATTCTGTGGGAGGATCAGAAAACGTCCCTGTGCAAGGCCAGCAACTAAATGCTCAGGTTTTGCAAGCCAAGAGGCAGACCCAAAGCTTTCACCCACGTCTGTAACAAAAGCCAAATTCCTCAACACCTCATATCCACACAATTAACAATGTAATAGAGTACAACTTTCTGTAATTCAGGTTTACGAATGAGAAAACTGGAATTTTCATTTTGCCTAACATTCGGTATTCAAAACCAGTAATGCATATTGTCAAATCAACTGTAAACACTTTCTCTATAAAAGCCATTTTTAGGGGCCAGTGTTATGGCTGCTACCTGTGATGCCAGCATCAAATTTTGGCTGCTCCACTTCTATTCCAGCTCCCTGTAAATGTGCCTGAGAAAGCAAAAGATAACCCAACTGCTTGCACCCCTGCGCCTATGTAGGAGACCCAGAAGAGGCTCCTGGCTTTGGCCTACCCTAGTCCCGGCCACTGTGGACAGCTGGGGAGTGAACCAGCAGATAGAAGCTCTCTCTTATTGTCTCTCAGTCTCTCTCTCTGTAAGTCTGCCTTTCAAATACATAAAGTAAAACCTTAAAGGATTTTTTTTTATTTTTTAAAGCTGTAGGCCATACAAAAGCAGGCAGCAGAATGGACTTGCTCTGTGGGCTATATAGTTTGCTGTTCTGTCTATAATATAATCACATCACATCACTCTTCTCTCAAAGCACTGGGAATGAGTATTCTTGTGCAACAAGGAACCACAACCACAGCCCCTTAGACTTAACACCTGTAGGGGAGACTTGGCCAAATGTTGACTCAAGCAATGCTGGGGCCCTTGCCCCTGGAGCACCTGGCCGAGGAGCCACTCCCAGACTCAGACAGGTTGCTGGAAGAAGCCAGCTCCCTGGGATGGGAGGCCTGAGGTCCCCGTTCCCCCAATGGCAGGATTTGTGCCACCCTCTCTCTTCCAGCCCCAAAATGCCCCTTTACCTCCCTGGTGGAATTTCCTGCTATTCTCCCAGTTCGTTTACACTGGGCTTCTTGTTGTGGCTGGGCCCTGCCAGATCCCTGGCCCTTGAGTTCTGTGTGACCAGTCCTCTTCCATCTACTGGTTAACTCCCTCCCTTCTTCAATACATGGCGCAGCATGAGCTGCACTCCTGCTCCCAGCACTATTCCCCTCCTGGTTCCACTTTTTTCTTCTACTTATTCCCCTTAGCATGTTACTTGGCTTATGTTCCGCACCTGTCATTTATCCCTCACTGCTACACTGGAGTGCAAAGGGAAGGCTCCTTTCTGTTCACTGCTGCATTCTAAGCACCTGGCACAATGGCTGCCACAATACTGATCTCAATGTTGATCACCAAAATTCACTGAATGAACAATTTTGGGAAACTCTTATTTCAGTTTTCTACATACGTGTGTATATATTGAGACATAAAATACATTTTTTGGTTTGTTTTTGAAGATTTATTTATTTAAAAGGTAGAGTTACAGACAGAGGGAGAGACATAGAAAGATCACTTCCTAAAGGACTGCAACAGCTGTGCCAAGCTGCAGCCAGGAGCCAGGAGCTTTATCTGTGTGTCCCACCTTGTCGGCAGGGACCCAAGCACTTGAACCATCCTCCTTTGCTTTCCCAGACCCACTGGGAGGGAGCCGAATTGGAAGTGCAGCACCTTGGACTTAGGTGCTGCCCACATGAGATACTGAAGCTGCAAGTGGCAACTTTACCTTTTATGCCACAAGGCTGGCTCCTAAAATAAATTTCTTACTGTGAAACAAAATCAAGAGAGTGTAAAATTTACTGGAGGGAGACTGGCCTGGTGTGATGGTTCAATGGCTAAATCTTCACCTTGCAAGTGCCAGGATCCCATATGGGTGCTGGGTTCGTGTCCCAGCTGCTCCCCTTCCCTTCCAGCTCCCCGCTTGTGGCCTAGAAAAGTAGTAGAGGATGCGCCAAAGCCTTGGAACTCTTCACCCACATGGGAGACCCAGAAGAAGCTCCTGGCTCACTCCTGGCTTTGGATCAGATAAGGTCAGTTCCAGCCATTGTGGCTACTTGGGGAGTGAACCAGGGAACGGAAGATCTGTCTCTCCTTCTCTCTGTAAATCTGATCTAATTTTCCAGTAGAAATAAATTCTTTAAAATGAAAAAAACTGCTGGAGGGGACAGTATTGTGACACAGTTGTCTGTGCAATGTCAGCCAGCATCCCATGTGGCTTACTTCTTGGCTGTTCTGCTTCCAATCCACTTTTCTGCTAACGAACCTGGGAAGGTAGCAAAAGATAACCAAGTGCTTTGGTCTCTGTCACCCACATGGGAGACGAGGATAGAGTTCCTGGCTTCCGGCTTTAGCCAGGCCCAGTCCTGGCTGATGTAGCCATTTGTGGAGTGAATAGCAAATGGAATGTCTCTGTCTCTTTCTCTGGAACTTTAAAAAAATGACAAAAGAGAACATTTTTTCAGTTCAGAATTCTGCTGGTTGCAGCTTCCATGCACTTACTGAAGATGTGAGTAGCACAGGAGAAAGATGTCACTCAGGGTTTCTGCTGTGGAGATGGTCCCCTGGACGGGCGCCGGCAGCAGGGACCACTTCTGAAGGAGGTGCAGCTTCCACGGCTCCACCGGCAGCTCCATCCTGCTTCAGTGCTAGGAAATGCAGGAGAAAACAGGAACCCAGGTGTGGACACACAGCTAGGAAACCAAAGTGCCATCTACCCCACTGCAAAGCAGTGAACTCCCCGGGCCCTCAACTCTCCCACTCCAATTCACTCACCACCCTCTCAGCCAAGGGGAGTTCACTTTATCCCGGGCACCACACCAAGCCAGTTTTACAAAAGTGAACCTGGGTTACTGCAAGAGGTTCCCGGCTATCCAGGTCAGAGACCCAACACACACAGGTCCTCTGTTTTCCCTGTCTCCCAGGCCCAGTCCCCAGCTCATTCCTGCAGTCCAAGCCCCTGTGTGGCAATCTTTCCAGAACTATCAGAGTGGTCTCCCAGCCTTTGGTCCTCCTCCCCGCCTTACATCTGTGAATGCAGCTACTGCCAGCCCAAATCTGCCAACATGCAGTCCTTGGCTTTCTTTCTAATTCTCCAGTCCTGCTTCTTCCCCTTGTATCTCCTCATTGCTATTCCGGAGTGCCAGGCTATTTCACCTGTCGAGCGCCGTGGCAAGGTTCACTCATATTTCTACCCTTATCTGGAGCCCACCTGGCAAATTCGTATACATCTTTCCTGTCAGTTCAAATGGCACCTGCCCCGGGAAGCTTTCTCCGAATTTCTTCCCTGTTCACCACATGTACCCGGGGGCTGGGCTATTCACAGCTGCAACTCTCTCGGGACCCACTGCGCTCTCCTCAGATTTGAGGGAACCAAGTGTTCATTAATTACCTTCAGAGGCTCCCTCAGGCCCAAGGTCAGGGCTGCAGGAATCAAGTCGCCGCTCTGCGCCTGTTTAGCACGTTATCAGGCGGCGGCTCTACTTCTGAGTCGTCAGGCCGACCGCGCGCCTAGTGCGGCAGCCGCTGCCCAGCTCCACGGAACGCTCAGCCGTTCCCGCGAGACAGCCGGCGCGCCCGAGAAACGCCGCGCTCCGCCCCTAGGCCCCGCCGTCCCGCCACTAGGTCTCGAGCCCGGCTTCGGGCGCGTCACGTGCAGCCGCCCGCCGCGCCTCAGCCAATGCGAGGTCGGCTCGGGCTCCTGAGCCCGCCCCCGAGGCCGCGCGCACGTCGGGGGCGGGAGTGGCGCGCGCTGCGCTCCGGGCCAATTGCCGAGCAGCCCGCTGGACCCCGGGAGTGAAGGCCGGGCTGCTGCGAGTCTCGAGCGCGGGAGTTGGCGCGGCGGAGCCACCATGGTGGGCCACCTGAGTGAGGGGGCCATCGCGGTGAGGAGGCGCTGGGGACGGGTGTGGGGCGCGGGCCCGTGCGGCGCGGGGAGGGAGCCACGGCGCGGGGGTCCCTTTCCCGGTGCCCATCCGCACCCCTTCCTTCTCCCCCCCCCCCGGCGAAGGAGTCCTTCCGTCTTCTTTAAAGACGTTTTCTATTGAGACAACAAACGCATCCTTTCTTCCTGCTCCCCTCCTCCAGCCCCAGCCAAACTTCCCGGGAGTTGATTGGTTGCAGTGAGGCCAAGTCGTCTCCTCCCGCCGGCCAGCCCCCCGGGTCCCGGTTCGGAAGAGAAGCTGCGCAGGGAGGAGACCTCCCGGTGGTCAGCGTCCCTGCTGGCGGCCTGGGGCCTGGCGATCTCTGCTTTCTCTTCTCCTTCTCCCTTAGGCCTAGGTAGCTCGGTTTTTGTGAAGTTTCGTGGTGCGAAACTCCCCTGCCCCTTCCCTCTGTCCCTTTGCCCCCCGTGCGGACTCCAGCTGACCGTTATTCTCTGAATTCTTTGCGCGAAGCCACCTGTGCGTCAACAAACTAATCTCAGTTGGGACATGCTCAGAGCATGCCCAGAGCCCTAACCACCCTCTTCCTCTCAGCACACCCGCCTCCCGTCACTCACTGTCTTCTCTGGCTTAAAAAAAAAAAAGTACATCCGTCACCCTGCCAAGGCTGGGCCTCCTCTGTTAAGTTGTGCCAGCCAGAGACGGAGACGTCATTCCTGCCTTATCCGTGCTGCTGGTGCCCGCTGCATCACCCAGTGCGGCATGTTTTCATCTCTGGGTAGAGCTTTTGAGGATTTACTTGAAAGGCACAGTTGCAGAAGGAAAAGGAGAGAGCTTTTATCTGCTCCTTCACTCCCCTGATGATTGTTAACAGCCAGGACCCTGGAATTCTATCTGGGTCTCCCATGCGGGTGGCAGGTGCCCAAGCCATTGGGCCATTTTTCGCTGCTTTCCCAGGCGCATTAGCAGGGAGCTGAAGTGGAAGAGGAGCAGCTGGGACTGGAACAGGTGCTCTTATGGGATATTAGCCAGGCAGTAGTGGGCGCTGTGCTACAGCAGCCACCCCCTCCCTTCCACCCACCCTTGGATCTTTTAAATCTGTTAGATTTACTGACCCTCGAGAAAGAAAACACCAGCCTAGTGCAAACAAGCCTTTATCAAACAGAGAAGCCTGTTCCTAGGCCTTTCCTCATGCGGCAGAGGAGCAGGTAGACCAGACAGAGCTGAGCGAGCAGACAGGGCAGGCTGGAAGACTAGCAGGGGTTTTATACCCCTTCTGACGTGGGTGCTGGTACAGGCTCTGCTTGAGCCCTAATAAGGTGAGAAATGTTGACCCAAGTCCATTATCTGTCTGTCCATGACCTTGGCTGCCTTCGGGATGTGCCAGATCTCTGGCTAAGGTCACTGTGGTGTCCACCTACTTCCTGTAACCCCAGTAACCATCATTCTGGCCTCTTGGTAATAGGAAAAGGGGTGATGAAGTCAATATGGCTACTTCCCGCTGGAGAGGGCAGTTGTCCGGAGGTGGCTCTGTGAGTGCGGGAGTGTGGATGTGCAGTAACATCTGATTGAAAGTAACCTGTGAGGCTTCGCGAATTTTTTTTTTTTGGATGAACCTTAGGAAGCAAGGGGCAGTAGTTAGTAAGAGACCTATAATTATCAGTGGAATGAGTATTGGAATGAGTGGTGATTCCCAAACACCAAGACCAGAGTTGTTATCTGAGTCTTGTAGATTCCTGAAATACTAGTTTCCACTATGCCCAAATTGTTGACGTAGTAGTAACATTTTTCTTGTAGGAATATATCAGTTCCCCCTTTACTTGCAGTTCAAAGATCCAGTGCTTGATGCTTTTGTAAGGCTGTTTCTGCCGGTGATGTGAGCTGGCGTATATAAGGGTCTGTGTAGTTATCAGGAGGTAGAGTAGGATTGGAGGCAGGGGAGACATCTTGCTGTTTAAAGGTTGGAGCAGGTCCCGGCGCGATAGCATAGTGGTTAGGGTCCTCGCCTTGAATACACCAGGATCCTATGTGGGCACCATTTCTAATCCCAGCTGCTCCACTTGCCACCCAGTTCCCTGCTTGTGGCCTGGGAAAGCAGTTGAGGACGGCCCAAAGCCTTAGGACCCTGCCACCTGTGTGGGAGACCCGGAAGAAGCTCCTGGCTTTGGATTGGCTCAGCTCTGTAGTGACCATTTGGAAAGACAACCAGTAAATGGAATATCTTTTTGTAAATCTACCTTTCCAATAAAAGTAAATAAATCTTTAAAAAATCACAAAAATCAAACAAAAACAAGGGCTCATGCATGGAACTACTGTGGTAAACAGGATAAGTTGCATTTGAATGTTAGCTAATAGAGTTGCAGAAACGAGGAGGAAAGGAAGTACTATTTCTGAGCGTGTCCCTATATGACATGCTTCGTAGTAGAGGAGACTTAAGTACCCCTGTGAGGTGGGTTTTTATTATTACCCCTTTTACAGATGAAGAAATTAAAGTGCAGAGGAGTTAACAGCGTGCGTGTGTGTGAGAGAGTGAGTGGAGATTTGGATATATGTGCTCTTAATTAGGCCTTGTATTTTTAGTAGTGACATTAATTTGGAAAATTGAAGACGTTTGTATCTTTAGTGTACGTATGCCCTGTGCCCTAGAAAAAAGTAGTGTTGCAGTCTGTGTTTATGATGACAAATTTTCAGTGAAAAGTAATAAAGTAATACACGTGTGTGGTTTTATTTAGGTTTTCGTTGTTTTATGTCACTGGCAGGAATGGGAGAGGGGAGAGGCTTCGGTTGCTGGTTAGCTCCTCAGCTGTTTGCGTTGTCCTGGCCTGGATCCATCCAGAGCCAGGAGCTTGGTCCGGGTCTTGCGTGTGGCTGGCAGCCCCCCAGTCACTTCAGCCATCCCTGTTGTCTCCCACCATCTGCATTATTAGGCTGCTGGTGTCGGGAACCTGAGGCAGCCATGAGACCCAGATGCTTTGATATGGAGCACGAGGCACCTTCATTGGTACTCCCAGTACTGGCTCCATGAGTGGTTTTATTATTAGGATTGATTGATTTGTTTGACATGCAGGGAGGAGGAAGGAGAGGCAGGTTTGCCATTTGCTGGTTCACTTGCCACCTGGCTGTGATGGGTGGGACTGGTTCAGGCTGATGCCAGGAATTCCATCTGGGTCTCACCCACGGGTGGCAGGGACCCAGCTCCTTGGGCCCTCTTGTACTGCCTTCCTGGAAGCATTAACAGAGTTGGATTGGAAGTGGGTTGTTCGGGAGGTGAGTGGTGGCTTAACCTGTGTGGTTTTAAAATGAAGTGGAATGGCCGGCACCGTGGCTCAGCAGGTGGTGCCAGCGTCCCATGTGGTGCTGGTTTGTGTCCCAGCTGTTCCACTTGCTGTCTTGCTCCCTGTGTATGGCCTGGGAAAGCAGTAGAGGATGGCTCAAGGGTCCTGGCTTGGGATCAGCTACCCTCTGGCTCTTGCTACCATTTGGGGAGTGGATCAGCAGATGGAAAACCTTTTCTCTTTCTCCTCTCTGTAAATCTACCTTTCAAATAAAAAATAAATAAATCCTTAAAAACAAATAAATAAAGTGAAGTAGAATAGACAGATGCTTAATGAATTATTGATTTTGGGGCCTAGCAGCTAAAGTCCTCACCTTGAATGCACCAGAATCCCATACAGGCACCAGTTGGTGTCCTGGCTGCTCTACTTCCCATCCAACTCCCTGCTTGTTGCCTGGGAACGCAGTCAAAGACGGCCCAAAGCCTTGGGACCTTGTACCCACATGGGAAACCCGGAAAAAGCTTCTGGCTTCTGGCTCCTGGCTTCAGATTGGCTCAGCTCTGGCCGTTGTGGTTGTTAGGGGTGTAAATCATCAGACGGAAGATCTTTCTCTCTGTCTTTCCTTCTCTCTGTATATCTGCTTTTCCAATAAAAATTATACACACACACACACACACACACACACACACACAAAACCTCTTAAAGTTACCTTTTTGGGCCTGGTGACATGACCTGGTGGCTAAAGTTCTTGCCTTGAACATGCCGAGATTCCATATGGGCTTTGGTTCTAATCCCAACATCTCCATTTCCATCCAGCTCCCTGCTTGTGGCCTGGGAAAACAGTCAAGGATGGCCCAATGCTTTGGGACCCTGTACCCGTGTGGGAGACCTAGCTAGAGGAGGTTCTTGGCTCCTGGCTCCAGATTGGCACAACACCAGCTGTTGCGCTCATTTGGGGTGTGAATCGTCGGATGTAAGATTTTCCCCTCTATCTTCCTCTCTATATGTCTGACTTTGTAATAAAAATAAATCTTTAAAAAAAAAAATCTACCTTTTTAAGTTTATTTCTTTGTGTGTGATATATAGGTCATTTCCTTCCATTTAGATACTCATTTATTCCATACTGTCTTATTCCATGCAGTTGCTTTGTTAATTTTTGTGAGCCTATTTCTAGGATGTCTATTTTGCCATATATACGTATGTTGATGGTTTTGCTCATACCAACTTGGCATTTAGAACTGTAGCCTGATAGTAGTTCTGGAAATACGGCTCCGTAGGGACCAGCGTTGGGTGCAGTGATTTAGATGTTGCTTTTAGAGCCTCTATCCCGTGCCAGGTGCCTGGTTCAGATCCTGACTGCTGCTTCTTGGCTGACCACCTGCTGATGCATACTCTGTGAGGCCACGGGCTCAAGGACTTGAGACCCTGCCGCCACACAGGAGACGTGGATGAAGCTCCTGGCCCCTGGCTTCAGCCTGGCCCACTCCGCCTGTTGGCTGGTATTTCGAGGGTGAGCCAGTGCCTAGATCTCTGGCCTGGGGGCCGGCATTGCGGTATGTGGGGCTAAGGCACTGGCTGCAGCATGGGCAGCTCATACGAGCTCCTCTTCCACCCCAGCTGCTCCATTTCTAATCCAGCTCCCCACTAGGTGCCTGGGAAGGCAGTGGAAGATGGTCCATGTGGGACAGCAGGGTGGAGTTCTAGGCTCCTGGTTTGACCTGGTCCAGCCCTGGCTATTGCTGTTATTTGGGGAATAAACCAGTGGATGGAAGCTCTTTCTGCTCTCTCTCTCTGCAACTTTACCTTTTGAATAAATAAATATATCTTGGTTTAAAAAAAAAAGTCTCTGCTCTTCATATAAAATAATAAGTGGGTACAGTGCAGTCGCCTAGTGGCTAAAGCCCTCAGCTTGCACGCACTGGGATCCCATGTGGGCGCTGGTTTGTGACCCAGCAGCTCCACTTCCTATCCAGCTCCCTGCTTGTGGCCTGGGAAAGCAGTCAAGGATAGTCCAAAGCCTTGGGACCCTGCACCTGTGTGGGAGACCTTGGCTTCATATCAGCTCAGTTCTAGCTGTGGCAGGCCGCTTGGGGAGTGAATCAGCGGATGGAAGATCTTTCTATTTTCTTTGTGAATCTGCCTTTCCAATAAAAAGTACATTTTAAAAAAAATGAGGGCCCGGCGCGGTGGCGCAAGTGGTTAAGTCCTCGCCTAGCACGCCCGGGATCCCATATGGGCGCCGGTTCTAATCCCGGCAGCCCCGCTTCCCTTCCAGCTCCCTGCCTGTGGCCTGGGAAAGCAGTCGAGGACGGCCCAAAGCTTTGGGACCCTGCACCCGCGCGGGAGACCCGGAAGAGGCTCCTGGCTTCGGACCGGCATAGTATCGGCCCGTTGCGCTCACTTGGGGAGTGAATCATCGGACGGAAGATCTTCCTCTCTGTCTCTCCTCTCTGTATATCTGCCTTTCCAATAAAAAATAATAAAAATAAATCTTTAAAAAAAAAATGATAATAAGTAAAAACATTCCGGCAATATAAATTCCCTAAATTTGTTTCTTTAAAATTATCTTACCAATTTTAGGTTCTGCATTTTAATACACATTTTTAGAATTAGTTTGTATGTTTCTTTTTATAAAGATATGTTTTATTTTTATTTGAAACGCAGAATTACATAGAAGAGATTGAGATCTTCCACCTACTGATTCATTCCTCAAATGTCCACAATGGCCAGAGCTGAGCCAATCCAGAGGCAGGAACCAGGAGCTTCTATAGTGGGTGAAGGGGCCCCAGGACCTGAGCCATCCTCCGCTGCTTTCCCAGGGCGCTGGATGGGAAGTGGAGCTGCCAGGATTAGAACCAGCGACCATATGGGATCCCAGCACGTTCAAGACGAGGAGTTAGCCGCTAGGCCACGGCGTCGGGCCCGCAGTCTTCCTGCTTTTGTTTCTCTTGCCGTCCCGTGTTCTGTAGGACCTCTTCTGCCGTGCTGAATCAAAGTGACGTGAGAGTTAGGTCCTTGTATTTTTCCTGATCCTAAGGAGATATCATCCACTGTAGATCCTTTTGTAAACGCGGACTGTTGGTGTAAGCCTTTCTTCTACACCTCATTTGCAGAGGCTTTTTATGATGAATGAGACTCGGATTTTATCCAGGACTTTTTCTCTATTGTGATGATCACGGATTCTCTCCTCTTGCTGTTTTTGTAACGAACCATGCAGGTCTCAGACCGACCCTTTGCTTCCTGGAGTGAATCCTGCTTGGTCTTGATGTAGTGCTAGAATTGATTTGCTGTTAGTTGAGGTTATTGTGTATCTGTACTGACAAGTGAGCTACATTTTGGTTCTTATCATGTCTTTGTTCTACTGGCATAAACTCCCATTATGAAATTAATTGGGAAGATAGCTGTTTCTTGAAATAATTTATGCAAAGTTTGTATTTCTCGAGCCTTAAATAGAATTCATCAGTTAAACCATCTAGAAATGGAGTTTTCCCTCTTGGGGTATTTTATTTTTTGATTCGGTTTTGATTATTTGAGAAGCAGATAGAGATAGCACTATCCCCCATTGACTTACTTGCTCTCGCAACACCTGCAATGGGCAACTCTGGGCCAGACCAAAGCTGGCAGCCGGGGACCCCATCCAGATCTCCCAAGTGAGCAGTTGGGGACCCAACTGCTGGAGTTGTATTACACTTGCAAGAACAGCACACACACACAGACACACACAGATCTTCTATCATTGGTTCATCCCAAATGGCCGCACTCACCAGAGCTGAGACAGGTCCAAAGCTGGAGGCCAGGGTTTCTTCCAAGCCTCAGGCCAGGACTTGAACCCAGTGCCCATATCAGACGCCACTGCTGCAGGTGGAGAATTAGCTCCTTATGGCACTGTGCTGGCCTGAAATTGTGATGTTTTGTTGATCTTTTCAAAAACCAGCCCTTGACTTCTTAGGGTCTTATGGTTTATATTTAACTGGTTTTGCTCTTACCGCCTTCTTTCTGTACAGTTGGGTTTTTATTTATTTTTTTTCCTAGCTTCTTATTAGGGTTTTAGTCCTTGGCATGGAACCTTCTTTCTTCCCTGGTGTAAGGATTGTAAGCTTTAATTTTCTGTTTAAACATTACACTAGCTTCATTTCCTGACTTTAGATGGACCTGGGCCTAAGCCTAATGCTTGGTTTGAACTTGGCCAGGCCTTTGTCTACTACAGCATATGCACACTCTCTTAGCTCAGGGTGAGCCGTCTGGACAAGTCAGTTGAGATTCCAGCTGCCGTTGCGTGGGCTCTCAGGGACCTCCTCCTTGGGCTTGACAGAGCTTGATGCCCAAAGACTGTGCTCACAGCCTAGTGTCAGCCTGCCCCTGGATGTGTGCTCATAGCCCAGTGTTGTTAACCTGCCCCTGGATGTGTGCTCACACCCCAGAGTCATCAGCCTGCCCCTGAATGTGTGCTCATAGCCCAGTGTTGTTAACCTGCCCCTGGATGTGTGCTCACACCCCAGAGTCATCAGCCTGCCCCTGAATGTGTGCTCATAGCCCAGTGTTGTCTCTTGTGGCTGCTTCAGTACCTTCTTGTGCTTTGTGTCAAGCCGGATCCCAAGTAGAGCAGGTGGGCCTCAGACTGGTGCCCAATTAGGATACCAGCACTGCAAGAGAAGAAATAACTTATGGTGCCAGTCCCTGTTTGTTTTTATCGTGATTTGAGGCATCTCTCACAACATTTTTTTCTTTTTTTCAGGCCATAATGCAGCAGGGGGACACGTCCATCAAGCCCATCCTCCAGGTCATTGTGAGTATCTATGGATGTTTAATGGCAGTTTTTAAAAACTTGCATGTGGTTATAAATTATGTTTGATGGAAGACTCACAAAATTGTCCATTTAGGAAATTCTTCCCATGGTCACAAAAAAACAATATAGGCTAGGCTACTTTGTAATCCTGGAAGAGAAAGCTTTTGTAATACTACCTTAGCTGAAGTTATTCCTTGATCAAATGGGGGGAGAAGGTGGTATATAGATTGATCAATCGATTGATTGATTTAGAAAGGCAGAGTTCAGAGGGGGCGGGTAAGCTAGAGTGAAAAAGATGATCCATCCATTGGAAGATGGCCCCAAATGGCCACAATGGATAGAGCTGTCCAGGCTGGAGCCAGGAGCCTGCAGCTCCAACCAGCTCTCATGTGGGCGGCCAGGACCCAAGGGCTTGAACCCATGCTCACAAGGGGATGTTGGTGTCACAGATGGTGCCGCAGTGTTGGTCCTGAGAGTCGAGGCTGAAGCCTTTGCCTCTTGGTCCTTTTCCATGATCCCCAGAGGACGTTGGTGTCGCGTCTCATCATAGTGGCCACCTGGCATGGCTACCTGTCCTTACGGCTTATCTTGCACAAGTGGGCCTTTCGAGTGGCCCCTAGATGTTCAAAATGAGCTGGTCTGCTTAAAATCCTTGAGTGGACGCAACATTCACTGACTTACTCAGGTTTCATGGGTAGTTAGAAGCTAGACTGCAGCTGCAACTCTGCGTCAGTAGGACTTGATGGTGTCCCTGCAGCTCCACACTGGCCCCAGTGCCCTGGGAGCTGCCTGTCCTCTCTCCCATGCTGGGCTCTGTCCCGGCTCTGCCCCGTGTGAGCGTGCCTGCCCATTGCTTGTATCTCTCTCCCTTTAATTCTGATGGAGTTATAAACTCCTTTAGGCAAGGGTTTTTTTTTCTGCCCTTTTTTTAAGCATGTTTCCTACCAGGTGCCTTGTTACGGGTTTCTTTTGGTAATTGATTTTCAGCTACTCTTGCGTTAGGGGAGAGAGAACAAGGGTTTTGGCAGATCATTTCACTCTGGTCCATAGTGGAGGGATGGAGGGAGGGCAGTGGGAGAATCACCAAATCCAATTTGTTCTGCCTTGTGCTTAGCTGTCAGGAGAACCACCAGGCAGTTTGGTTTATATTGAACTAAGGGCAAACTCTCTCCCCTGGGGCCACTGAGGTTTACTTATCCCTGGGGACTGGGTAGGTAGCCTGAGTAATGCATCAAGTTTTCTCTCCTAGAGCATCCGCCCCATTACAACGGGGAACAGCCCACCCCGTTATCGACTGCTCATGAGTGATGGATTGAACAGCCTGTCGTGTGAGTATGATCTGTGGACCTGGGAGCATTTGAATACTAAAAGCTTGTACAGCGCCTCGATGGCAGCAACTTGGGCCACTCTTCAAGTCCTCTGTGCACCTCTTCAGACAGAACTGCAGCTGGCAGAGAACACTCCAGCAATGGACTGGAGGCGTGGAAAGCTGCCACTGGGCTTAAGTAATTTTCTCTAACTGGCACTGTATGTTTTCTTTGATTAATTTCCCTAAGGGTGATATTGACATCGAGTCAATGTGATGGGCTAGCTGTAGTACTCTTGCCTTTTGGGGTGTTTTATTTCTGTGTTGAAAGCTTTCCAGCAGAGAAGGGAGCGCTTATAGAATATGTGCTTGCTGTTTCTAGTCGCAACATAAAGGATCTACAAGAGAGGGTTTTTGTTTAGTCTTCGTCATGAGACCCATGGGAAAATTGTTTTTGTTCCCCTTAAGAAATGCATACATTTAGGAGTAGCCACTAGTATGCTTTTCAGTGTACGGTCTAACTAGTTTTAACTTCTGGAACATACTTAAGGCATCCTGTTTATTTGCTAGCACAGGTGTAGGGCCACTTTAAGACTAGTGTTTTGAAGGCTAAAGTGATCTTTGCTTTTTCAGCTTTCATGTTGGCCACACAGTTGAACCCTCTTGTTGAGAAAGAACAGTTGTGCAGCAACTGTGTTTGCCAGATTAACCGATTCCTTGTTAACACACTGAAAGATGGAAGGTATGTGGTTTGTGTTTCTGTTTTATTATGTTGTGAAATGGAGCCTAAGTTTCGATGAGCGAAGTGTACTGGATAGCAGCGTTTCCTGAGGAATTGTGAAAGGCAGTGGTCAGTTTCCAGCTCTGTGTTTATAATTCCTTGGTTTTAAATTGAGAAGCCTTAACACGTGACACCAAGGGAGATGTGGGTATTTCCGAGCAGGAGACTGGGGCGGACGGAGGGCCTCTGCTCCATTCTCGGGAAGCCCCACTTTCCCATTACCCTCCTGATGGAGGTCACTTATTACAACAGGAAGTGTACGGTTGTGTAACACTGCCCCCCCTCGTTGGGTGATCTTGAACCTTTCATTACAAAAACTGTATTCAGACTATGCTGCTGAGATGCTGCCAGCTAGGGATACAGTGCTGAACAGACCTGGTAAGCCCATTGTGTTGTTGGCAAGTCAGTTTACATACCCTTTCACAAGGTTTAATTTTTCCATTACATGAGACTAGACTCCAGGGCAAATGGGATGAGCATTGCTTTGTTGGGAAAGGGGTTCAAACTGTATTGTTTTAGTGTATTACCAAATGCCTTTAAGAAAATGTGTATTTATTTTAAAGGTGGAAAAACAGGGAAAAAAAATGGTGCGTCTGCTGGTTTACCCCCAAAATGGCCACAGTAATTGGAGTTGGACCAGGCTGAAACAGGAAGCTCCACTTGAGCGTCTCACATGGGTGACAGGGACCCCGACATTTGGGCCATCTTCCTGTGCCTTCCCATGGGCGTTAGGAGTGCTGGATTGGAAATGGAGGGGCTGAGCTCTGAAACAGGATGCCTAACTTGCTGTGCTACTACACTGGCCGCAGCTTTTCAGTTTGGGATGGCAGTGTCAGGAGCAGCACCTGCCACGCCCAGCCCCACTGCAACATAAGAGAGAAAAAAAGGATACAACTACTGAGAAAGAACTATAATCAGCGCTTTGCTGTGTATCTTTCTCAACTTTTTCTGTGAATATAAACATACATATATATTTAATAAGATTGGCTGTCTAATAAATCGGGCTTCATGATATTCTCACTTTTAGTGGTCATTTTTACATGTTCCTAGACTTAACCTCCATCTATCACTTAGTATGTCATTTTATGCCTTCTTGTAATTTAATTGCCATTTAAATTATACATGGCATTTCACCGGTTTAAGATTTTTAGCAGGGTTTCTCTGAATATTATCTATAGCTCTACCTTTACATCTGTACTTGGTGGCTGTGAAATAACAAGAAGGCTGAAAATCATCCAGATCCTTTCAACTCAGAAGCAACCAGTATTGCCTTTAGTGAACATTGTTCCAGATCTTTCCGTGCATTTTTATGAATGATTGGTAGATAGATAGGAATAATTATTTTAATTTGAGGGATAGAGAAAGAGTTCCCCTTCGCTTGTTCACGCCCCCTGTGCCCTTTACGACCATCACTGGGCCTGGCCAAAGCAGGAGCCAGGAACTCACTCTTAAGTCTCTCATGTGGCCAGAGACCCCCTCCCTGGCCTGTAGCTTGCTGTGCCCCAGGATCTGCATAGGCACAATCCTGGAATCAGGAGCTGGAGATGGACTTGGAACATCGGCATGCCAATATGTAACACAGATATCCCAGCTTAAACCTAGACCACTAGGCCAACACCCAGAAAGAGTTTTGATATTAGAATGACAGTGCACATGCTATTTCTGCTCCCTTCCTTCCTGAATTATCCAGAAACAATTTAGTGGGGATTGAACAAGGTGATGTCCCCTACAGAAGTGAGAGGCAGTGGTAATAACCCTGAACTCATCTCGGATGTCAGAACCCAAGAAAGGGGAGGTTTGTGGGCTGCCCATGGGGGTTGGAGCGTAAGCAGTTGAGAGCATGCTTGAGGGTAGAGTGCCTGCAACCATTCATTTCATTGTCCGAGCCTGAGTACGGTAAGGCCAGATCTTACATGGCTGTCGGATCCCACAGATGAAGAGGACCTCTGCTGCTGGAGAGCTGAACAGACTGGGAGATGTTGGAGATGGGCGGGGGGCCTGGAATTGTAAGAGGCTGTGTGCTGGGAATGGTGGTCGCCCAGCAGGAGGTGCTGGAACCCAGGTGGACGATGGCCTGGGGCTCGGTGTGGGAGCCCAAGCACCCGAGGAGGCTGTCTACACATGCAGTCGTGGGGGGCAGCAATGGGAGATCAGGTATATACAGTGGAACTGGTGTCATAAATGAGTAAATAAATAGATTGAGGATAATGGGAGCCAGCCAAAGGAGTGATTCATGATGTTGCATTGTAGATGAAGGTATTAGAGGAACTCAACATTTTCAGTATATAGACAGGTAGAAAAATAAGTAGTTATAAATAGTTTGTGTGTGAATCCTATGATTTATGGAAAATATGGGGTTGTTGTGGTGGCTTAACAATAATCCTCTACCTGCTGCTACCACCAGATTCCATATGGGCACTGATTTGTGTCCTGGCTGTTCCATTTCCCATCCACTCCCTGCTTGTGGCCTGGGAAAGCAGTGGGATTGGAATTGGAGCAGCCACAGCGTGAACCAATGCCCACATGAGATGCTGGCACCACAAGCAGATAATTAACCTGTTGAGGCATTGTGCCAGCCCCCTGCCATGTCACATTTTAACTTCCGTGCTAAATACCTGCCCCTAAACGTTTAATTCTATTTTCCATGAACTTCTAGATATCCTCATTTGGGGTATTTCCTAGATCTATCGAAGAACTTTGGGGAAGCAACACCTCTCTATCTGTGAGCGGACTTAGCTTCCATCCCTTGGTTTCACAATGACATTTTACATATAAAACCAGAACTCTTTTGAGGCATGACTTACTGCCAAGCTTGGAAATCACAAGATAAGCCTGGAATATCTTTTTTTCCCTCTTTAACTTTTGCTGTTATTTACTTATTTGGGAAAATAAAAAGAGATAGAACTCCCACCCGTTGGTTCCCCCTTCAGATGTTCACTCAGCTATTGCCAGGGTTGGGCCAGCCTGAAGCTACTCAGTCCAGGTATGCTGTGTGGGTGGCTGAGACCCACCACTGTCTGCCAGCCTGCACCAGCAGGAAGATGCACTGGGGGACAGCACCAGGGCCTGAACCCATGCACCTCACACAGGGTAGGCGTGTGCCGTGCGGTGTCCTCTGCCCTCTCCCTCTTATAGGGTGCTTGTAGTTACATTTATGCCTATCCAGGAAGAACCAGGGCCACTTCCCCTGTCAGTTCTTAACTTGTTCACACCTACAGTCACCTTTTAGCATAGAAGGCAATAGGTGTAAGTTCCAGGAACTAGGATTGGCTGGCTATCTTTGGAGATCTAGTATTTGGCCTGCCACAGATACTGAAATAAATGGGTGAAAGTTTGATGAGAAGCAAGTTCTTTATAATGCTAAAATATCTCTCCAATAACATAGTTGCAACTATAAAAGGAAAGGGTGATTTCATAGGGGGCGGAGAGAACTAGGGCACACAGCCCTTTATTCTAATGATGAGCGTTAGCATTAGCCAGCATTGAAACAAGCACATTGTATGTGCAAATAAGGAGGACAAGGCATCACTTGGGTTACATTTTTGCCAAAGATCCTCGTTTGTTTCCAATGATGAGAAAGCCTCAGGCAAACGGAGGAATATTCTACAAAATAACCTTATTTTGGTCCTCAAATATGAAAGGAAAGGAAAGACTGAGAAATTATTCCAGATTGAAGGAGTCTAAAACCCTAGGATAACTGAATTTAGCAAGTGGTGCTGGATTGGGTCTTTTTGCTGTAAGGCATCATTGAAGCAGTTCATGGAATTTACTTGTGTTCTATGGGTGAGATGGAGGAACATGGTATTGGGCTAAGCTCCTTCACCATGAACATTATTATGTTTAGAGTAGAATTTGGCCTGAGATTACAGGGTGGGATATTGACAATATATACTATAAACGTCAACTTTTAAAATATATATATTTATTTATTTATTTTTTTATTGGGAAGGGAAATACACAGAGAGGAGGAGAGACAGGAAGATCTGTCCAATGATTCACTCCCCAAGTGGCCACAACAGCTGGGGCTTAGCCAGTCCAAAGCCACAAGCTTCTTTCAGGTCTCCCACGCGGGTGCAGGTTCCCAAAGCTTTGGGCCGTCCTCGACTGCTTTCCCAGGCCACAGGCAGGGAGCTGGAAGGGAAGCGGGGCTGCCGGGATAGAACCAGTGCCCATATGGGATCCCGGGCGTGCAAGGCGAGGACCTTAACCACTGCGCCACTGCGCCCGGCCCCTCAGAATTATTTTTTTAGAGAATGAAGTAAGTTCACACGTTCTGCCCTTCTGCCTCTCAAATAAATATAAAATATTCATCTTGTGATTATACAATGTTTAAAATGACAGATAAACTGAAGCAACAAACAATTTGATCAGAGAGATTTGCCCTTAATTAAGAGATTTATTTATTTGAAGAGGTGAGAGAGAGAGAGACCAATCTTCCCTCTGCAGGTTCACTTCCTAAATTCCCACAACTGCGACTAGGCCAGGCCAACCTAGGAGCTCTGTCCAGGTCTCCCGCATGTGTGGCCAGGGCCCAGGCACATTGGCCAGGACCTGCTTCCTCCCGTGATGTACCTTGGGGATCTGGATCAGAAAGATGAAAGGGGCCAGGACTCCAAAAGACATATCTGCCTAATAAAAATAAATAAATCTTTAAAAAGAAAAAAGGATCGTGGAAAATGGAAATGAAGGTTTAACTCTGTCTCAGTGCAGTATTTTTTTTTTTTGAGATCTACCTGTAGTTCATAGTGCATGTTTTCCATGAACTGTTTTAAGATCATACATATACAGTCTGAATTAAAATCCAAAGTTCACACTACAAAAAATGCATATTGGGCCCGGTGAGGTAGCCTAGTGACTAAAGTCAAGTTACTGTCCAAGCCCACAGTTGGTTTTGCTGATTGCATTCCCGAAACATAATTTTTTGTGTCCTTGTCTGTATTCTCTATAAATGTATATTGGTGTAGTCTTTTAATATGCTATGATATTCATCTTGCTAATATTTTATTTAAGATGTAGATGTATGTTATAACCTGAATTTTTGTGTGTGTGCTTTCTCTTAGATTTTAATATTAAGGTAATGCTAAATAATTGATAAGCCTTTCATTTTTCGTACTCTCTTGGGAGTGATTTGGATAATTTTAGAAGTTAAAAATATCTGTAATTAGAGACCTGTCAGTTTTTACAGAGATTCTACATCCAGTTTTTTAGGAACAGATTATTTTAATCTCAAGTGATAACCTGATCAACTGATTGTAAAAATCCAGAATAAAGCCATGAGCCTATTTACAGAATCAGGCACGATGAAGTGGAGTTTAGTACTGCCTAAGTCTTACTCCCAGCCATCCAGGTCCCTTCGCCATCATCACTTCCCTAATCTGTGCTGCCTTCGCTCCTCCGCATGTTGGCCTCCCTGCCTGCGGAAGGGAATTCCCTTGTCCTCATGCACGCGTCTTTAAAATGCCAGTGTGAGAACCACATTCTCCAGCACACACTGAGCATCAACTGTGGGCCCCTTGGTGTCCTAAACCCTGGAGAATGGTGCCAGCGCCGTGGTTAAGCTGCTGCCTGCAACACTCGCATTCTGTATGAGTTCCTCGTGTTCTGGCTGCTCCCTGCTTGTGTGCCTTGGAAAGCGGCAGAAGATGGTCCATGAGCTTGGGCTCCTGCTGCCCCTATGGGAGACCTGGAACACCTATCTTTGGCCTGGCCCAGCCTGGGCTGTTGCAGCCGTTTGGGGAGTAAATCAGTGGATGGAAGATCTCTATCTCCCTCTAAAATTCTACCTTAGTTTATCTACTTTTATTGAAAGTAAGGTGTTGTAGAAAAAGGTGTATTAGGAGATTGATGTTAAACTAGTTGCTAATGAATATGTAAGTAACAACCAAGAAATATGTCCTGAGAAGCGATGGCTGCAGAATGAGTAGATCAAAGAACCACAAACCAAAGAGTAAAGAAGTATCTCTGGATGAAGTTTTTGAGTTGAGAACTGAAAACTCAGTATCAGGAACAGACTTGCATCACAGCAGTGAAGACACCACTTGGCTTTGCCACATCCTGGGTTCAAGTCTTGGCTCCACTTGCAGCCTTTGCTAAGCCTGTATACCTTGGGAGGCAGCTGGCAGGGGGTCCCTCCCACCCCGCTTGAGCTCCTGGTTTCTGGGTTTGGCCTGGCCCAGTCCAGGGTGTCATGGCCACCAGATGGTAGATTTCTTTCTCTTTGTCCTTATCTGCCTTTCAAATAAATGAAGAATTTTCAAAAGTAAATAGTGAGTACTAGGTGAGGCGGAGCGAGAGGGTGGTGTGGCTGCAGCACTCAGATGAGCTGTGGAGCTGCCCGCATGGCAGGACCCACACAGCAGGTGAGGTATGCCAGGGGCCTTTGTCTTTGGAAAATTATTGATGAGTCAGGGAACATTTATAAAGCACATTTATTAAAATATCCACTGTGTTATTGGTTGGGAAAGTAATTGTTTATGTAAACGTATGTTTCTGAAAATGAATCATCTTTTTGTGACACAAATTCTTGTGCTTAATGATCTAAATTCTCACCATGTCAGGGGCTCCTTGCAGATACGATGTGCAGCATGGATGCTGCATAATAATTAAGGAACTCGGTTCCACAGAATAGTCTCAATAGTGATGCAGTGAAGGATTAAGGAAAGTATTTATGTGGGACTTACTATCATGTATCTGGAGTTCCTGTGTGACAGGAAACATTCGACAAAAGGGGAAGGGAGCAGTCGTGTCAAGATGATCGCAGGGGAAGCTGTAAGTAGCTCATCCTCTGAATTTGTTTATTCTGACTTGTTTCTATGTGTTTGCCTTTGTAGGAGAGTGGTTATTTTGATGGAGCTAGAAGTTCTGAAATCAGCAGATGAGGTCGGAGTGAAGATCGGCAACCCAGTGCCCTATAATGAAGGTAAGCGGCTCTTCGCCAGCTGCAGCACGCAGAGCTGGGATGCTGCCTTTCGGGTGCGTGTGATTTGTGAGGCACCAGAAAGCAGTGGTAATTTGGCCATCCCGGAGTTCAGTTCTCCTGACTGTTTTCTTCAATACTGAAGGTATAATTTTAAATATATAAACGGGGAGAATATAAAAGAGAATGCGATGGACAAAGATCCACTTACAATAGACTACAAGATAGTATTGAGGATATTACAGGCTATTTGTAATATTGGTAAGAAATATATTTTTGGGCCCGGCACAGTGGCCTCGTGGCTGAAGTCCTCACCTTGCATGTGCCAGGATCCCATTTGGGCACTGGTTTGTATCCCAGCTGCTCCACTTCCCATCCAGCTCCCTTGTGGCCTGGGAAAATGGTAAAGGATCCCCCTACAAAGCCTTGGGAACCTGTACCCATGTGGCAGAGGCCCCTGGCTTCGGATCAGTTCAGCTCTGGCCAGTGCCATCATGTGGGGAGTGAACCAGCAGATAGAAGATCTTTCTGTCTCTCCTTTCTATAAATCTGCCTTACCAATTAAGTAAATAAATAAATGTTTTATGTGTGTATTTTTTTTAAGAGTTATTTACTTTGAGAGATTTTCCTTCCTCTGTTTCACTCTCCAAACAACCGCAATAGCCAAAGCTGAGCTGATCTGAAGCCAGGAGCCAGGAGCTTCTTCCTAGGGTCCCAAGGACTCAAGCCATTCTCCACTGTTCACTAAGCCCTAAACAGGGAGCTCGATGGGAAGTGGAGCAACTAGGACGTGAACCAGTGCCAGTGTGGAATGCTAGCAGTTGCAGGCAGATTACACCACTGTGTCAGCCCTTATTTTCTTAAGATTTATTATAGGCACTTCTTTTTTTTTTTTTTTTTTGAAATTTTAAAGATTATGAAGCATTGGAACCAGCATTGTGGTACAGCCTGGTAGGGTGCCATGCTGGTTCATGTCCTGGCTGCTCTCTTGAGATCCAGCTCCCTGCTCATGCACCCAGGATAGCAGCAGTGGGCGGCCCAGGTGCTTGGGCTCCTGCACCCACTGGGAGAGCTGAAGAAAGCTCCTGGCTTGGGGCGGCTTAATCCCAGCCACTTCAGCCATCTGGGGAGTAGACCAGTGAATGGAACAGCTCTCTCACACTCACTCTCTCTCTCTTTTAACTCTGCCTACCAGGAGTTAATAAATTAATCTTTTTTTTTTTTTTAAGATCTATTTTTATTTCTGCTGGAAAGGCAGGTTTAGAGAGGAGATACACAAATACCTTCTATGCACTGGTTCACTCTCCTAGTGGCTTCAACAGCCAGAGCAGCACCTATCTGAAGCTGGGAGCCAGGAACTTCCTCCAGGTGTAGGGTCTCAAGGCCTTGGCCCGTCCTCGACTGCTTTCCCAGGCCACAAGCAGGGAGCTGGATGGGAAGCGGGGCTGCCAAGATTATAACCGGCGTCCATGTGGGATCCTGGTGCATGCAAGGTGAGGACTTCAGCCACTTTGTGTGATGCGCAGGTTCCTGCTCCTTTGGCAGCACTCCCACACTGGTGTGTGTTCCTGTTTTTTTTTTAGAGAATTGTCTCTGTTTCTTGCCAAGGTGTGTGAATCAACTCTGTGATGGCAGAGGCCATACTTGTTAGTTTCTGTGTTCTATTCCTAATCCCTTATTTGTAATGGGTCCTCTGGAGTTATTTGTTGAATTGAATTGATGACATTATTTAGCAGTCATATTTAAATGATAAAATTACTAATGATTTTAATTTTTATTATGGATTCTATAGAAAAGCATAATAAGATGCGGGGGGGCGATCTAGTACTGTAACAAGGAAACACTTATAGTTCTAGATAAAGGTAAAGGAATCATGAATCACTCACCCCACAAAAGAAATCTCCTCCACTAAGTCAAGTAAAAACAAGATTAAATCTCATTTTCTTCTTCCTCTGTCTCTCCTCTTCTCTGTATATCTGACTTGGTAATAAAAATAAATAAATCTTTAAAAAAAAAAAAGACTAAACCTCATTTTCTACTCAAATTCTAAATGTGTTGTTGAAAGTTGGAACATGAAATCATCAAAATGATAAAGAGGAAGGGGTACATAAATGGATTGCAGTAATTCAGAATCAGCTTGGTAACACTGAGGTGGCCAGAGGTAGTTCTGACAGCTCATACCTGTAAGATTTGCTCCATTTTTGGACATGTCTAGTAAAGAAAGTGCTCATGGAGAAAGCGGACATTGGACAAGAACAGCCTGTTGGTGGCGGGAGGAAGGAGTGTCTGTCCTAAGCAAGACGGTGCAGCTGTGCCAGTGCCGGAGGAGGACACGGAGACACGGCTGCTGGCTGTGATGCTGCTGTCAGCTCTTCCTCCGGGGTCTGGAGGCGCACCCCCCTTCCCGGCTTGTTGGAAATGTCTATTAGGGGTGGCTGGTGAATTTTGTCAAATGCCTTTTCTATGTCTGTTGGCGATCACACAGCTTTTCCTTTTTGGTTGATTAATGTGGTGAATTACAGTGATTGATTTTTCAATGCTAAACCAACCAGAGACTTCTGGGATAAGCCTGTATTGCTGTAATGTGTTATCCTCTTATGTATAGTTGGATTAGGTATGCTAAATCGATGTGATTGGATCTGATTGAGATTTTTTTTTTCATCTATATTCATGGGAGATATTAAAGTCAGTAATTTTTCTTTCCTGTCATGTTCTTGTCTCATTTTGGTATGAGTAATCCTGGCCTCAGAATGAATTGAAAAAGTATTCCTTCTTAAATTTTCTAGAAAGATCTGTGTAGAACTGGTCCTACCTTTTCCTTCAATGTTCCTTTGCTTTTTTTTTTTTTTTTAATAATGAATTTCCTTAAAAGGCAGAATAGTAAGAGAGTGAGTGAGCAAGATTTCATGACATCCACTGGTTGACTCCCCAGGTGTAGGGGACCAGGCGGGAGGTGGGAGCCAGGAGCTCCGCCTGGGTCTCCCACCTGGGGCTCACCCACGGGGAGCTGGGTTGGAGTGGAGTAGCTGGGACACTGACCAGCAGCCTGGCACGGGACATGGCCATCAGGCAGCAGCTTACCCTGCTGTGCCTCAGTGCCTGCCCAGGCTGGTTTCTTCATGACTGGCCTCTGGAGGAGTGCGTATTTCATGAAATTTAACCATCCACTTCTCTAAGTTCTTAAATTTATCAGCCTATATAAATGGAAATACGTTGTAACAATCCCTAGTTACTTTTTAGGACCTAGTGGTGTCACCTCTCATTCCTGATGGTGTTCATTTGTGTTCTCCTTTTGTTCGCGGTCAGTTTGGACTAGAAGCTTATTCGTTTTATTGCTCTTCCCAAAGAATTGGCTTTCTAGTCTTGCTGATTTTTTTTCTCCTCTGTTTTCTGTTGATTTATACTTTTCATCTGTACTGCTTGCTTTACTATTTGAAAAGCAAATTTACAGAGAGGAAAGACAAAGAAAGAGATTTTGCATCCACTGGTTGGTTTCCCAGAAGGTCACGACAGCCAGAGCTGGGTCAGCCCAAAGCCAGGAGTTTGGAGTTTTCTGGTCTCCCATGTAGGTGCAGGAGCCCAAGGATTTGGAGCAGCCAGGACTTGAACAGGCACTGTTTGGGGATGACAGCACTGCAGGTGGAGGCTTAACGTACTACGCCACCACACAAGCCACATGAGTTCTCATTGTTACTCTATCCAATTTTTTTTTCTAATTTCTCTTTTAGTTTCTTTGATGTGTTTTCCAGAAATATGTTTGGTTTCTAGATGTGTAGATTTTCTAGGAATCTTTTTCTTACAAATGTCTAAATTCCATTATATGTCAAACACCACACTTTGATTTGAATCCTATTAAATTTATTGAGTCTTATGTCTCAGATTACGGTGTCTCTTGGTAAATTTTGTGTGTTTGAAAAGAATGTGTGCTCTGTGTTTAATAAATGTCAATTAGTGTTGCTCGAATATTCTGTAGCCCTACTGATTTTCTCTTGACTTGTTTTGCTGGTTATCTTGAGAAAGGGATATTGAAATTGGTGGCTAAATTGTAGGTTGCTCTGTATCTGCTTGTGGCTGTATTGGTTTCTGCTTCATACTTTGAAGGTCTGCTATTAACTGTGTAAACATTTAGAATTGGTCTGTCTTTGTGATGAAACGACTCCCTTGTTATTATGGTACAGCACTCTGTATCCTGCTGAAAGTCTGTGCTCTGAAATCTACTCTGATATTACTATAGCCACTTCAGCTTTTTCCTTTTACTTCTCCTGCTTGTGTCTTTCAGTGTACGTGTATTCTTGTAAGTAGTAGATAGATGGGGCTTGCTTTTTTTTTTGTCCAACTTGACATTTTCTGCCTTTTTTAACTGGGAGACTTTGGACTATTTATTTTTACTATAGCTATTGATATGAGGCCTATGTTTTTCACCCTGCTGTTTCTCTTTGTTCTGATTTTCGTTCTTTCTTTAGGCTTTAAGACTTTAGATTTTTATGACTTCATTTTTTTCCTCTGGTGGCTTACTGCAGTGCCTTGACTTGTTTCGTTCTAGTGTTTGAAGTGTGGGTGTCAGACTCCATGCTTCCATCCCTAACATAAGTCCCACAGTAATTATTACTCTGCTCGTCCAAGTGATCGGCTTCTTCAGGAGAGTTCAGTAATAACTGTGTTTGCTCACGTCCTTGACCTGACTCTGTCCCCCGTCGGTCCAGCAGTTCTTGTAGGCAGAGAGCTGCTGGCAATGAGTTCCCGCAGTTTTTGAGTATCTAATAACTGCTTTTGCTTTTGGCTTTTGGAAGACAGTTTTGCTGTGCATAGAACTCAAGGTAAATGATTTTTATTCTTCCATGCTGGAAAGATGTGTGGCCTGCAGTGTTGCCCTTAGAGAACACCCGGTCCTTCTCGTGCTGGTTTTTCTCCACTTAACATGATGGGTCTGGCGTAAGGACAAATGGAGTTGAACCCAGTAGTTCACCAGAGGCACACTGCGTGCTGTCTTGGTTTCTCCTGTCGGATCTCAGTCATAACCTTTGCCTAACTGGAGCAATGGCCGGGGAGGGAACGTTGGAGAAGCCCAGAGCTCGGCCTTACCAGGTGGCGAGCACCATCACGGTGTCAGGGATGGAAGGCGTTGTTGTAGAGGTCACTTGCTTGAGCCACCGATCAACTTGCCCAAGACCACACGAGTGAGCTGTTCCAGGAAATGAGATTTCCAGGTGAAGATGCTGTTGCTTCCGGAGTTGTGAACATTAACCTTGGGGCCAATGTACATGGATCGTGGGAGTGAATCCATCACAGGAATGCTGTATACATCATTAGACGTTCTCTCTGCTTCACACTGGCAGCTTTGTCCCCTACAGCCTGTGTGATTTTATTTATTTATTTTTTTTGGAGATTTATGTATTTGAAAGGCAGAGTGGTGGAGGGAGAGACAAAAGAGAGAAAAACCTTTATTAGTTTAAAACATCAAAACACAGTTCAGGTAGTATCTGTTTCTTTTGATAAGTACTGATTTCATTTTCATCTCTGAATAGTTAACACAGTGGTGTGATGAAGTCAGAATTACAGAATTCTATCTCCAGAAAAGGGTGCCCTTAACCCTTCCTCCCTGCCCACGGCCACTGTTTAATGTAACACGTTTTCTTCATCTGTTTATGCAGATCTAGCCCAGAACAAATACTGTGTTGTCATTTTCTACTCCACTTTGATTACACAAAAGGCAGCTTATTATGTGTACTCTCTTGTTTCTTGTCTTATTCTCATTTTTTAAACATTAAAAAAAAATTTAGCCCAAAGCTGTTTATATATATGTATATGTATGTTAATCGGTCTCTATCCCCCCCTCCTTTTTTTTTTTAATCTTATTTAAAAGATAGAAGGAGAGACAGAAAGATAACTTCCATCTACTGGCTCACTCCCCAAAGTGACTCACTAGCCAGGGCTGGGACACGCCAAATCCAGGATCCTGAAGCTTCCTCCAGGTCTTCCATTGAATGTAAGAGCCCAAAATACTGGGGCTGTCCTCTGCTTTCCCAGGCATGTTAGCAGGAAGCTGGATCGGAAGTAGAGCAGTGGGGGTTAAACGCCCTTATGGATGTGGCATCACGGGGCTGGGCAGTAAACACGTGCGCTTCCGGAACACCAGTCCTGATTACTTTTTTAAGATTTATGTATTTATTTGTTTGAAAGGCAGTGTTATTGAGGGATTAGGAGAGACAGATCTTCCGTCTGTTGGTTCGCTCCCCATGTGGCCACACCTACTAGGGCTAGGCCGGGCCAAAGCCAGGAGCCTCATCCAAATCTACTAAGTGGATGCAGGGGCCCAGGTGCTTGAGCTGTCTGCTGCTGCTTTCCTAGGCACAATAACTGAGAGCCTGATCAGAAGTGGAGTGGCCAGGAATTGAACCAGCACCATTATGGGATAGCAGCATCCCAGGCAGCGTCCTAACTGCTGTGCCACAATGCCAGCACACACACATGTACTTCTTTTTAGGGAGAGATCTATAGACTATCTCTGTAGAGGGCAGAGACCTCTTCTCCACTGTGTTTACTGACCAGATGCCCACAGTGGCTGCAGCCGGGAGCCTGGGTTGTGATCCAAGTCTCCTACCTTTGGCAGGGACTTGGTAACTTGCAACATCTGTCTTCCAGGGCCTGGACCTGCAGGAAGCTGGAATCAGACCCTAGAGAGCTGGGTATTGAATTGAAGCACTGCAGTGTGAGGCATGGGTGTGTTAACTGTCAGGTCAGATGCCCCTTTTAAAAATAGCTGTTTATTGAGGCCGGCATGAGCCTCTGTCTGCAAGTGCCGACATCCTATATGGGGTACCAGTTCATGTCCCAGCTGCTCCACTTCCGATCTACACCCTGTTTATGGGCTGGGAAAGCAGCAGAGGATGACCTAGGTCCTTGGGACCCTGCACCTGTATGAAAGACTTGCCAGAAGCTCCTGTTTCCTGGCTTCAGATCAACTCAGTTCCAGCTGTTGCAGCCATTTGAGGAGTGAACCAGCAGATAGAAGATCTTTCTGTCTCTCCTCTGTAAATCTGCCTTTCCAATAAAAATAAATCTTTTTTTTAAATAGCTGTTTATTATTCAGAAGGCAGAAAGCCCTTCCAATTAAAAACAAAAAAAGATCACTGTAGAATTTTAGGCTGTTCTTTCAGAAGACATATTATCAAAGAAGAGGAGTTGTCCCCTGCAATTTCATGTGACTCTTTGTACATTCAGAGATAATGAGAAAACTAAAAAGTAAACACAAAAATTCATTGTCAATAATCCATGCTGTTTTTCTGTGTAAATAAGATCTCTCAATTTTTCTCTCCATAGGAAGAACTAAAGAATAAACACTTCTATTTAACCTTTTTAATTTTATGCTAAATCTGTTTGACTTGAATGGCACAGTTACATCTCATTTAGTCGTGCCACTTAAGAGCTGTATATTGGCAGAGGTAAATTAAATCTGTGGATACTATCAGAGTGAGGGCCTTGACCCCAGCAGCAGGAGAAGGCTCCAGCCGGGGGGGCTGTGGGGAGCCCTCCCAGCCGTGCTGTGAGCCACTCTGCGGGGCCACTGGCCCCGGGGGTGAGCAGCCCAGGCGGGGCTGACACGGGTGCCACCACCAATGGCCATCCCATGCCTGTGTTTCTGTAAACGCTGTGTATCATACCCATAGGTGTACAGGGTGAGGGGCAAAGCCATCCATGCGCAGCATGCGTCTCTTATTTTCTGCTTGAGAGACGTGTTCGTCATCCCCTCCATTCCTTTTAATCTTCTTCTTTCCGTGACACGGCAGCCTCTGAGCTCCATTCTCATCTCTTCCTGCTGTGACAGCTCGCTGGCACTTCACGGCACCTCAGACTCTTTCAGCTCCTATTTTCCACCAACTGTCAGTCGCACAATAAGGTTGCCCTGTTGGGGAGGGAGAAAGTAGAGCCCTCTCCGTACGTCCCCCCGAGCTCTGAAGCCAGAGCCCTTCAGCGACCATTGAGCTGCTTTTAGATTATATTCCTCACCCCATCCTCCCCGCTCTCTCCTCCACACACTTCTGTTGATGGCATCGATTTGTTGCTATGGAAATAGTGGTCCTGTCACAGAGTCAGCCCCAGTGACTGGTTGCAGGTGCATGGAGGAGACATGGGCGAGACTTCAGGGGAGCACCTCATTAAAACTGAAAGCTGTCAGTTGCAAACAGGTGAAAAGTCAACCCTTTTTGTTTTTGTTTTGTTTTGGTAAGGAAAACTGAAAGGAAGTCCCCCCGCCCCCCCGCCAACTCATTCACAGTCTACAACTGAGTGACCCAGCCACAGGTTTCAACCCAAGAGTCTTTGACAAAATTTAAAATTTCCACTGTGACGGAGAGTTGCTTCTCCTCGAGTTTAAATCTCTTTAACCAAACCGTTAGCGCTCACATTGCCTTTCCCATTTGATTTTTAGTACACGGTCAGCAGCAGACAGTTCCGGCTCCAGCTCCTGCTCCGGCTCCAGCTCCGGCTCCAGCAGCCAATCCCCCGGCCAGCAAGCCCCAGCAACAGAACGGGAGCTCTGGAATGGGTAAGACGCCAAGCAAGCCGACGTGAGCTGGCTACATGCTGTCAGGCTTGTGTCTGATGGTTTGAAATTTAATCTGGAATGAAAGGGAATTTTCAAAGTTTCATTCATGGCAGAGTTGCATCTTGCAAAGAATAACTCTGCTTTTATTATACGATGAGAAAAATGATAGCCATTTAAAATGCTTAACACTGTGCCTTTTTTCCCTTCAGTCAGAATGAATATGCCTTTCTGGATTATTGGGTTAGCCAGATAATTTCTCACATCTTGAGCTTTTTTTTTATTCCCTCTGACTTCTCTGTGAATTTGCATCCCTTTTAACTATTCAGGATCTACTTACTATACTTTGTCTGTCAACATGTTTCCCATTTTGGGCTTTTAGATTTAAGATTTATTTATTTTCATTGGAAAGACAGGTTTCCAGAGAGAAGGAGAGACAGGAAGATCTTTCGTCCATTGGTTCACTCCCCAAATGGATGTAGCAGCTGGAGCTGAGCTGAGCTGATCTGAGGCCAGGAGCTCTTCCAGGTCTCCCACACGGGTGCAGGGTCCCAAGGCTTTGGACCGTTCTCAACTGCTTTCCCAGGCCACAAGCAGGGAGCTGGATGGGAAGTGGAGCAGCTGGGATGCAAATATGGGATTCCAGGCGTACAAGGCGAGGACTTCAGGCTTCCATGCTGGGCCTTAGAGGTTCCTTTTTTTTCATCACACCATGACCTCCTCCATTCCCGCCCTTTCTCTTCCTTCCACTATCCATTTCTGTTTTGCAATGGAAGTTTCTAAAAGCAATGAGGTTAGAACATCACTGATGTTTCTTTGGAGCCTTCAGGACACAGGGCCTTTCCCCATGAGTTGGTTCTCTCTCCAGCCTTGTGATAGCTACCTGCCTCCCATCTCTCCATCTCCGTTTGTAAGTGAATCTGTTCACTCACAAATTGTGAGCTGTTGAAGGAGGATAGTGAAATAGGTTATCTGAAACAAAAAAATAACATCACTCCCTGAGGCTGAAATACAGATGGTGTCCTGTTCTTCTCCCGCCACGGATTACTTTTTGCCTTACTGAAATTGATTAAAAAAAGAAAATCAAGTGATGTTCCCTAAAGTAGATGATGGCAGAAAGTGGACTGGGTGTGTTGAGAAGTTGGACGAGAGGATGCTTGTGTGCAGAGTGCGTGCGCTGCGTGCCTAGCCTTGGCTGGAATACGCTGTGGAAGCCCGACGGATATATGCTACACAGACAACGAGTTTGTGTTTTTTAAACCTGGTTCTCTCCTGAAGGAGCATTTTGATGTGGAAGGTAAGAAATTACCAGACTTAGTCATGTTTTCTGAAGACAGAGGTGGAAGCTCTGCAGATCCGGCGGTCGGGGTGTGTGTGTGTGTTCCTGTGTGTTTAGGAGACTCAGGTGTGTCAGTGTGTCTGAGCTGGTGACCAGCTTCAGCTTCCTGCACTTCCCTAGTATAGGATGGAGCCTGGGCAGAAGGTCCCAGGGGCCACCAACCCACATCTGGACTGAAGGCTGCTTCACTTTTGTCAGTGCACCTGGGAAGCCTGCGTGGTAGCCCAGACGCTAGGGATCCTGGCCCAGCCGTGACTCTTAACCGCCACCGGAGGAGTGAGCGAACCAGCAAGTGGAAGGTCTAGCTCCTGCTTGCTCTCTCTATCTATGAATCTCTCTCTAGTTCTATCTGTCTGGCTCTGCGTTTCAAATAAATGAACTCAAAGTAGATAATGTGCTGAAACAGAGGAGAGGGAAGAAAGAACAATGTCTGGGTTTTAGGTTGGCAAGTAGAGTGACACCATTACCCCGCACAGCCTGTGGGTCTCGCCTTCGCTCTGGGGGCTTTGCCTGCCCTGCGTCCAGTTGACCAGTGCGTCTCACTTGGTCGAGCCCCTCTCCCCCACTCCCCGCCCCTGTAGCGCCCAGTAGCTGTAGATGCTGTTCTTGAAATTAAATAGAATAACGGCTGTGCCTTTCCTTTGTGTGTGTTTTTCAAGGTCCCCCCATGTCTAAGTCTTTTGGTGCCTCCAAGACCTTTGGGAAAGCCGGAGGTGGCAGTCTGATGAACTCTTCCGGAGGAACACAGTCCAGAGTGGTCCCCATCGCCAGCCTCACCCCATACCAGTCCAAGTGAGTCATCGCTGCGGATGAGTTCAGAATGAGTGTACAGAATGACAGTCATAATGGGTTCTTGAGTTATTTCTGTGCGAGTTTCAGAATCAACACTACATAGAATAGTGCCATTTGTGGCAACCTTTGACACTCATCCGAAAGCGTGACCAAAACTTATGGGTTCCATTCGTTATGAAGGAATTTTAAATGTTTAATGCTTAGAGAATCGGTTGATAGTCTTTTGAGGAAAAAGAAGTATTTGTGCTAATCCCGAAGGCATCTCACCTTCTCATATAAGTAAATGACCTTTTGTCCCTGAGATTTTTTTTTTAATAATCTGCCTCCACAGAGACTTTCCCAGTATTTTGTTGTTGTTGTTGTTGTTACTTTTATTGGAAAGGCAGATATACAGAGAGGAGAGACAGGAAGATCTTCCATCGGATGGTTCGCTCACAAGCAGCCACAATGGCCAGAGCTCAGCCAATCCGAAGACAGGAACCTCTTCTGGGTCCCCCACACGGGTGCAGGGTCCCAAGGCTTTGAGCCATCCTTGACTGCTTTCCCAGGCCAGAAGCAGGGAGCTGGATGGGAAGCGGGAGAGCCAGGATTAGAACCAGCGCCCATAAGAGATCCCAGTGTGTTCAAAGCGGGGATTTTAGCCACTAGGCTACCGTACCAGGCCCTGCCCCTGTGATTAGGTTGGCTGAGATGACCCTGTCTGCATGAGCCTTGTTAATTGACTCTGAAAATGTATTTCATGTTTCTTTCGTCCCTTCAAGAACAATTTGAGCAGTCCAAAATTTAGGAGTTGCTTTTTCTGAATTGCTTGTGATGTTTTTAATGTACTCTTCAGTGCTTTGTCACGGAATGACACTTTAAGCTACCTAACGTGCCCGGCCCATAGTTCAGCATAGGCACCAGTCCTGGCTCTCACATCTTGTGCCTGCTTTGTCCGGGGGGACCTCTGTGTAAGGTCCTGCCCCCTCAGCCTGTTTGATGTAGGCAGTGTGCCCACCCACACCAAGTTCTATATAAAGTCATGTGTTCATAGTCAGCGTGCATTGAGAATGAGACGTGAATTTGACATCCGTTTTATCAGTTCCCATAATTGAAAATAGTGACAATATAATTGCTGGTATTGCTGTTGTATTCTAGCTTAGAACCCTTCATTAGGGGGATATTGTTGCCTTGGTAATGCTTTTTTGCTAAAGGAAGAGTGCTTATAAATTTACTTATCTGACAGGAGAATGAGCTAGTGTTAAATCACCTTACATGTTTTGTTGTTTGCTTCGGCTATAAACTGTCAAACCTGTGTGTTATTTTGGGGTTTTAATTAATTGGGTTAAAATACAGCCAACATTGAAAGAGTGGAATATGCATAAGATGTGGAGGCCATCAGATGATGATTTCTTTCTTGATCTTTATTCTAAGTGAGATTCCTATAATCTCTCTGGTCTTAGGTGGACTATTTGTGCCCGTGTCACCAACAAAAGCCAGATCAGGACCTGGAGCAATTCCAGAGGGGAAGGGAAGCTGTTCTCCCTGGAGCTGGTTGATGAAAGTGTGAGTATGTGTCAAGCGCAGAGCTAGAAGTCAAGGGCTCCAGAACAGGAGCTCGGCTCTGCAGGCCTACAGACAGCTCAGAAACAACAGTGGGCCAGGAGGAAATGTGACTGCCTACTTGGTGTTCCCTCTGCTACAGTAAGTCCTTTGATGTAGCCTGAGAGTTGGGGGCTAAATGATCATAAATAAAAATTCCTGTAGCAGAAGAAATCAGCCTGCTAAACACAGGCAAGAAAAGCCGGTGCGGCTGTGTCCGATGCGCTGCAGCCCCAGGTGTGGCTGCCGGGGGGGCAAATGGAGCCCTAGAGATGTCAGGCCACCCCCAAGGTACAAGGAGCTCGGAGCCCCTCGTCGGGGACTGATCCTGCAGACTCCGCCCACACTTTATGTAAACAGAGGCAATGAGACAGTTTCCAAGCTGTGGCACTCACTGGTGTGCCCTGCTAGTCTGGGTTAACAGTCCTAAAATGTACGCCAAGCTTCTCTTTCCATCTGCTGCACATTTCCTACTCGCTCAAATCTTTAAGGGGTGGGGAGGGGGAGAAAAAGAGTTTCTTTATTTTTTGAGAGCTGGTATCACCCTAGATGTTGAACTGTGATGGCAGAGTCAGTATCTAAACCTGAGCTCTTCACAGATTCTTCATGGACTCCATTCCAGCCATTTACATTTCTTACCCCTTTTGTGAATTTTGATTGACATAAAAGTAAAAGTGAAAAATCATCTGCCACTTGAAAAATAGGGCTTGCCACCACATTTTTGGCAGTAACTGCTGAAGAGGAACGACTCTGTGGCTGCGGCTGCAAGCCCGGGGGAAGCTGGTGAATCATCCGGTGCAGCACACTTCCCGTGGGCTCCAGTCGTGTCTCCACGTTCAGAACTTTCTGGTTCTTATTGTCAAAATATGAAATTACTATTTTTGATTATTTTCTAGCTTGAGGTTAATAAAGCATGATTCTGGGATCAGCTTATTGAATTTCTCTTGTGTCATTGGAACTGATGATTGGAATTTGTGCCCATAAAAGGGGCTTACTGTTTATCTTACTGCCTTGAAGAAGCCATCTTGATGCTATGGGTCCATCTCTCGCTGGCCAGTCCTGCTGCTGGCCACCGCCCTCTGACCTGCTCTTGTTTTCCTCTGCAGGGTGAAATCAGAGCTACTGCTTTCAATGAGCAAGTGGACAAATTCTTTCCTCTTATTGAAGTGAACAAGGTACGGTAGTGCTGATTTGAGAACTGACCCCATTGGGTGGTGGAGTGAGAGTGGGGGGAGCATCGTCCACTGGGGAGTGGTGTGCAGACCAAAGGTGTTTATGTCCCGTGTGATGGGCTATGTACATGGTGTGGTCTGTCTTGCAGGTGTATTATTTCTCGAAAGGCACCCTGAAGATCGCCAACAAACAGTTCACGGCTGTTAAGAATGACTATGAGATGACCTTCAATAATGACACGAGTGTGATGCCCTGTGACGATGGGAACCATCTCCCCACAGTCCAGTTTACCTTCACAGGGATCGACGCCCTGGAGAGCAAGTCTAAGGACTCACTTGTGGGTATGTCCATGTGCCAGGATAAGGCCGTAGCAGCGTGGAGGGGACGTGGGGAGCTACAGAGTTTCCAGTTGAGCCTCTGGTGTTGTTATGTTGGGAGCCTCGGCCATGTCTCTGCTGACAAGTTGTGTTTTTCTTGTAGACATAATTGGGATCTGCAAGAGCTACGAGGATGCCACTAAAATCACCGTGAAGTCCAACAACAGAGAAGTTGCCAAGAGAGATATCCATCTGATGGACATGTCGGGGAAAGTGGTGACTGCTACTCTCTGGGGAGAAGATGTGAGTACTTGCATGGGGCAGTCCACACACATGGCAAGAACTGCCTGGGGGCTGGACTCTGGCCATGGTGGTGAAGGGCCATGCTGTCTAGCGCTGAACTTGAAATCCTTTCATGTATACTGTCTCCAGGAAAGTAACTTGATACTCACCCTGCTGTGTTTTCTGAGTAGATCATGCGATATGAGTGTCTTGTACAGAGTCCACCTACATTGATTACATTCACTCTGCTATTGGCCATTTTCCTCATTGTAAGAACATTCTGTGTGTTCTTCCTGCCAATGACCCTGGCATGTATTTGGCGTTTGTTTTGCAGGCTGATAGATTCGATGGCTCGAGACAGCCCGTGCTAGCCATCAAAGGAGCCCGGGTTTCTGATTTTGGTGGCCGGAGTCTGTCCGTCCTGTCTTCAAGCACTATCATTATGAACCCTGACATCCCAGAGGCCTATAAGCTTCGTGGCTGGTAGGTTGGTGGGAAGCCAAGCAGAGGGGTCTGTTGTGCTCAGGCTTTGAGAGGTGCTGAGTCTATGAGCATGTGAGCTCTGCGCCATGCAGGAGCTCCCTGGCCACATGGAGCAGCCCCCGTGTTTCATGGTGACAGTTGCACCTCCTCTAAGGATGACTTTAGAGCCTTGGAGAGACATAGCTGTGACCCGCCTTTGGGGTCAGAGATGGGAATGAGAGTGCAAATGTTGATCTGCCCTACCCAACCTTAGCAGCCGCATGCCAGAGAGGTGTGAGCCAAGGCACTTACTCTCCGAGGTTGAAGCCGTGACATCTGCGGGATGGGGGAGGACACGCTTTCTTATCTGTCAAGTCTTTGGTGCCGATCAGATCTTTTAGTGTGTATTCACTGAACTCTGATGAAAGTGTGGTGGGAACAATGGGCTTTTGTTGGCATCATATTGTCACTCCCAAAGCTCTCAAAAGATGAAGAGAGCCTGTTTTTTAAAAAAAAAAAATCTTACTACATCTAGCTTTTTAAGGCCTCCGAACTGCCTTAAAGGAGCACTTCAGACAGAAACATGGTATGCAAGAATGGATGTGGTCAGGGAGAGCACTTTAACTATAGCTATAAACAGAGGGACGTGTGTGTTGGTTTCCAGATGGGTCTCAGGGTTTAAGTGACCAAAGAGTGACCGCAGGTTACACACTCCTTGCTTTTGTGTCGAGTCTATTGTGAGCCAAGAATGCTAGTGTTCGAATGGTTCCAGGAAGCATCTACTGGGATGTTGATGGTCCTTGATACTTCCTCAAGAGTGTGGTCCACGTATCCTGCTTTTCCTGGTGGCTGTCCCTGCATTCCGAGCCGTCGGAGCAGCAGTCCTCTCAGCTGCATTTGTTTGTTGCTTGGTTTCCTCTCCTACTCTGGAGCTCCATCCCGCAGTTGGCTGCATGCTCACATAAAGGTGTTCACATTTTCCTTATCAATAACTATGATGCCAGCCAACACACAGACATGGTTGTCCCCAGGCATTGATCAAACAAAAGCCCCAGCCACGCAAGGCCTGGACACGTTTAGATTGTGACTCCGAGCATATAGTGTGTTTCGTTTTATTTTATCCTAAGAAGGGCTGCCTACCTGCTTGCTCTGTTGACTTCCAGTGCGCCATATGTGGTGGCAAATGTTTCCTTGGAGTTTTTGAAGCCATAAACTCACATAGCCAGTGGTTGTGCCTCCGGGGTGAAGTCAGCTGCTTACCTGACAGCCTGGGGGCTGTGTGCCACATGGGGTGTGCTCAGGGAGCACCTCCCTGGGGCAGCTGGTCTTTCTCATCCCAGGCCGACTACTGTCATGTGTATATCTGAGCCGCTTTCTCCCAGGCCTGGCACAGGATCAAAAGGCACAATCAGTTTTAATAGAAGCTTAACATGAATGAATCTAACTTTAATATTGACATAAGTAAAATCTCACTAAGAAGGAAAATTCTCCCCCCCCCAAAAAAAAACTACACAGATAATGCCATCTAACAAATTATATTATGTAACCGTAACCTTTCATACCGTATTAGGGTTGAGAGAACTTTCAGGAGCAGGTGTGGGCCTCGTGGTTAAGATGCCCACATCCCGATTTAGAGTGCCTGGGTAGGATATCCAGCTCTAGCTTCCAGCTGCCGCATTGTCCTGGAAGGCAGTGGGTGCTGGCTCACATACTTGGATCTCCGTCACCCACATGAGTGACCTAACCTGGACTGGTCCCTTTTTAGGAACATTCTTCACTAACCTATTCCAGCGTGAGGTTGGAAATAGCAGCAGAGGGAGGGTGAGCAGGAGAAGCCCAGTGTCACTGCTCTGTGTTACTGCTTTGCTGTTGTTTCCCAGTTAGGGTTTTCTTAGGGCTCTGGCCTAAACCAGGGAAAGGTCTATGTGCTTTGGCACTCTTTGACTTGACCACTGGAGGGCATCAAAGCAAATGAGATCAAAAGAAAGGTCAGTAAGGTGTGATAAGGAAGATGCTGGGTGAGGGGAAGGGTGGCATGACCCCTTTTGGACACCTGAGTGGGCAGCCCACCTAGCAGATTAATAGGAGTGCCACGCTGAGGGGTGCCCGTCAACCTTCCTGGCCTGTTGCTTTAGGTTCGACTCAGAAGGGCAAGCCTTGGATGGTGTTTCCATCTCTGACCTCAAGAGTGGAGGAACAATGGGGAGCAACACCAACTGGAAGACCTTGTACGAAGTAAAATCGGAGAACCTGGGCCAAGGGGACAAGGTATCCTGACAGCATGGGGTGCGTGTGGGAGGGCGGGGTCAGAAACCTGGGCCGTGTTGATCCCGAGCTACCACACTTCCCAGACTCTGAACAGAGCATGGCGTGGCGGCCGAGGCAGGGGCCAGGGATGGCCCCACCTCCCAAAGGGGAGGCTCTGGGGGGCGTGGAGGCTGGGAAATGGGAGCAGCTCTTGGAGGGGTCTCAAAGAACTGGGGAGATGCAAGCCAGATCAGAGCACGTTCAAGTGCCTGTCTCTCTCCTGGGATTATTCCTGCCAGTCTATGTGCACAAGTCAAGCATTAGCCCAGTGTGGTGTCAGACACTGGGACCATTCATGGGCTCTTAAACCACTTGTGAGCTGGGTGCACCCCACAGCCCCTGCAAGGACAGGCTCTGAGACTTGTCCACGTGCCACTTCCTGTTCAGTGTTCATACTCAGTGTCCTTCCTTCGCCTTGGGCCAACCTGTATTCTGTCAGTAGTTCAGCATGTCAATCATTTATCTCTCCTTCCTGTTAAGAACAGCAGTCCCTTCTCCTTTGCTCATCACACACAGCATAGATTTTACTCCTTCCTGTTTGCTTTCCCTCTGCCACCTTATCCATTCTTGATTCAGGAACAACTTGCAGCGCTATTGTACACCGTCTCCAGAGTCCAGCGGTGGGCTGTGCTATTGTCCTATCACAATAACAGCCCTTCCTCTGTCTCCTAGAGCTGAAAAGAGACAGTGTGGAATAAAGAGTCAATCAAACAAAATACATAAGTCATGCCTTGAGTCCGGACCACACCTGGCAGTGCAGGCACTTGTTGGTGTCTCCTAGGAGACACTTTTTTTTTTTGGAGTGGGGGAAGGCAGATTTACAAAGAGAAAGATCTCCCATCCGCTGTTTCACTCCCCAAGTGGCCAAAACAGCTGGAGCTGAGCCATTCCGAAGCCAGGAGCTTCTTTTGGGTCTCCCATGCAAGTTCAGGGTCCCAAGGCTTTGGGCCGTCCTCGACTGCTTTCCCAGGCCACAGCAGGGAGCTGGATGGGAAGTGGGGCAGCTGTGGCATGGGCCATCACACCGGGCCCCCAGGAGACACTCTCCAGAGCCTTCTGAACTGGGCCTAGCCAAGCCCTTTCCCCATCCACATAGCTGTTTCCCTCTTTGAGCTATCAGGAATCCCCTGAGGTTTTGCTGACCTGACTGGATTCAGAGTACAATCAGATATGCTCCATTGCCATACTAAACACACCCCTCAGAATGACACATCTGACATCCTCTCTCTGCAGAGGTTAGAAAGTAAAACCCAAACCTGTGACTTGGTCCTTGGAACGGGGGTGGTGCTCAAGACACAGATGTTCCTCTTGAGTATTTTTGCATTTGGCTAGATTTACCGGCTTGGACCAGGGATTGGCAAGCCAAACCACCTGCAGTTGTAAATAGTTTTGTTGCTGTGTTAGCCATGTGCCTCTGTCCACACGCTGCCATCCTGATGATTCTGCTCTGCTGAGCAGAGCTGAGTAACTACAGCAGACAGGCTGAAACACTTGGAGAAGACGCCCCCTGACCCCTGGCCCAGACAGACAGAGGTTCTCGGAGGGGCCACGGGGGGCAAGTCTTTGAATTTCATGTAGTTGTCAAGCAGAGAGAAAAGCAACTCTGAAACTACAGAATGAATTATTCTCTGCAATCATTTTGTGACTCGAGAATTGCAATATATATAAGCTCTTGTCACCGAGGTGTAAGGGCCAACTGCCTCATGGCCCCCAGGCCAGCACTCTGCATCTCACGTCGTTCTCCTCTCCCGAAGGCTGACTACTTCAGCTCGGTGGCCACCGTGGTGTATTTGCGCAAGGAAAACTGTATGTACCAGGCCTGCCCTAACCAGGACTGCAACAAGAAAGTGATCGATCAGCAGAACGGGCTATACCGCTGCGAGAAGTGCGACAGCGAGTTCCCCAATTTCAAGTACCGCATGATCCTGTCGGTGAGCGCCGTGGGGCAGTGGGAAGCCACCACAGTGGCATGAGCTGAGTACGCTGGGGTGTGGGCGGTAGCTGCAGATTGCTCCAGACCAGGAAGCTTTCAGACGAGGCAGCTCTGGAGTGCGCGTAACTGCCCAGTAAATGAGGAGGCAGGGCCTTTCACGCAATTCAGCAGCAACTTGTTTTCTCCTGCTAAAAGCTTTTCTTGGTGCTAGAAAGCTGCCCAGACCGATTGAGTCTTCTGTGTATGCCGTGCAATTACAGCATTGGTGGCACATACCCGCTAACCTTTATGAAGATAAATTAATCTGAAATAGCGTTTCTGGAGGGCAATTATTGTGCTTAGACAGCTGAGGCCTGGTGCCTGTTGTTTTCCTCATGGGGTAAGTGCCATGCTATCCCTACCAAGCCAGCTTCAGAAGACCTCACTGCGTGCTGAGGCGGACCCTTGCGTGTGTGTGTGTTTTGTAAACACTGTTGGATTTTCTTGTAAATCCTTATGAATGTAAAGTGTGTTTGTGAGATATTTTAGTGAAAGCACTGAAAATAAACATGCAGGAAAACTGGCATGCTCACATTTTTTCCAGAAGGTGATTTGGCAGTAATTTATCAGAGCCCTTATAAAAAACGCTTCTATTTTCTCACAGTTGAACACCTGGAGTGAATTTCTTCTAAGAAAATCATCAATGATATTAAAGTCTTTGATTGACTGTCCATAGAATGGAATACAGTGAAAGCCTTGGAATTTATTCAAAAGTGTTATTAGTAAGAACTAGTGCATGATACAAGTACTCAGGATTGATTAATTAATTAAGATGGTCTAAGGTGCCTCTACAGACAGAATTGAAAAAAACAAAATCAGACTTTGATTATGGTTATTTTTGGTAGATTTTTATGTTCTAGAAAGTCCAGAATAGAGTGTAATGAAAAGCTGGAGGCCTCAGGGTTTGCAGTGTGTGGAGCCCGGGCACTGACTGTCGGATGTGCCCTCCAGGTCTTCAGGGTATCCGCCAGGAGGCAGGTGTGGCGGCCTCGGATCCTGCATCCTTAGACGCTGTGTCTCAGCTGAATCTGAGGTAGCACCCACGCTGTGGCAGGCTCCCTTTCCAGTCTTGACAGATGTGCTTGTTCCACCGCATGGGTGGGCCATCTGAATGAACCCAGCTTAGCTGGAAATGTGCCTAAGTGCAAGCTGCGTTTAATACACACATCCCAGCATAGCCTTGCCAGTGCTGCTGTAACTCCTGTTTCATCTGATGTGCAGCTGAGAATTTAGTTTTGCTTTATTTGAAAGGCAGAGAAAGAGACTGAGACAGGCCTTACGACACAGGTGCAGGCATCCCAAGTGGTGTTTCCCCCACTGTGCCCAACCCACTTCACCCTTGCCCTCACCATTGCTCACCTTAAGCCTGCTCAAGCACATTTACCTGCAGTTGGGGAAAATCAGCTGGCACAAAAGCTTTTTTTTTTTTTTTTTAAACAATAAAGTGTTTCATGATGGGGTTTCCATGTGACTTCTGCAGTACTGTATTGAAAATGAAGACAGGACAGTTGAGTGCCTGGGTAGGCTGTTGCCGACAAGGTGAGAAATTGTAAAGTATAACCACCGTTAAGTCCCAGACTATCTGTACATGCAGAGGGAATATATTGTTATAATGAGTGGGAAAATTTAATTTCCCAGCCTCCTTGTGGGTCAGCCTTTTATCATTTGCTGAAATAACAGAGTTTGTGTTTTTTAGGCAAACATTGCAGACTTTCAAGAGAATCAGTGGGTGACTTGCTTCCAGGAGTCCGCAGAGGCCATCCTAGGACAAAACACCGCTTACCTCGGGGAACTGAGAGAGAAGGTGAGCCCTTGGCTGGGGCCGACCCCTTCCCCGGCCACGGCACTGCTGCAGGACTGGGTACTTCTGCTGCTGTTTAGTAGTTTGGGTTGTTTTTTGCAGGGGCGATGGGGGAGGATTTTATATTTTATATGATTGTCAGTCTGATGATGATTTGAAAGCTTGTGCAGTTTTGATTTTGTCCCTTTAAAATCTTTTGTTGTTGTTATTGTTTGAGAGAGAGCTCTCATCTTCTAGTTCACATGCTCACAATGGCTAAGAATGGGCCAGGCCGCGGCTGGGAGCTGGGCGCTGTGCTGAGTCTCCGCCACGAGTGGCAGGAGCCCCTCACGGCCGCCCCACAGGCTGCCTGGTGACCAAGACACTAGAGTGGGAAGCCGAGTTGGGATCCAAAGCCAGTTGCTCCAACTTGGGATGCACACGTATCAGAAAGCATCTTAGCTGCCAAGCCGAACACCCACCCCTAAATCCGGGCTTACAGGCACTGCACATAGGAAGTGCTTGCTATTTTATAACTTGGCATTTTATACATGAATGTAGAATAGATTACCAATTATTCTAAACTTAGATAAAGCATGTGAAGAAAAACAATAAAGCTATAGTTTCTGGGCCGTGTAAGTAGGCACCCATTTATAAAATGGGATTAGTGATGTTTCCCAAAATCGGTGAGAATACTTGTAAAAGCTACAAAGAAAAAAAATATTTGCCGTTTCTCCATGAGGTGATTTTCTTACTTGCTGTCCTCACTCCTGCCTGTTGGCTCTGCCCCTGCCCTCCCCCCGCCCTTTTTGTTTTTCCAATTTTCTAGGAGATCTCTGAAAATAGTCCCAGTCAGTCCTGTTAGAAAAATATCTGGAATTGACTTGAAGCTGTGATTGTATCTTTTGTATGTTTGCCTGCCTGGTCCTCTGTTCCTGTCAGATTTTCAGGCTGCAGACAGCTCTTCAGGCTTTTTTATGTTTACTGCTGGAGAGTGTGAACATGCGTAAATTCCCCCTCCGGGAGCCGTGGTGCTCTCAGAGTGTGGGTCCCACACTGTGCAGACTTGGGAAGGATGATGGTGCCTGGGGGAGGCTCCTGGCTTTGTCCTACTCCAGCCTCAGAATAAATACATCTTTTTAGAAGAGAAGAAAAACACAGCAGTGGGAAAGAGATTGATATTTGGTTGATCTTTACTGGTTGACTTCCCAAGTGGACACAACAGGTCTGTTGGAGGCCAAAGCCAAGGGCTGAGAAATGAGAGCTAGGGACAGGACCAGATCTCTGTCACTCCTTAACTCTGCTTGCTTTTCCCATGTGATCGACTTGCTCATCAGGTCAGTAGCTTTGAGTACAGAGGCTGAGGTTGTAAAAGATGTATAAGAGCATCTTAAACCTCTCTGTTTCCCTGACTTCTTAGTTCATGAAAAGCTGGTAGGCCTCAAATCTCCGTCACTAATGTTGATGTCTCAGGACGTTTCTTGTGAATGCTCTGTAGGTTTTCTGTTTGGTTTTCTTCTTGAGATTTATTTTTTTCTTGATTTGAGAGGTCGTATTACAGAGAAAAAAAGAGCAGTCATCCACTGATTCACTCCCAAAATGGCCACAATGACGGGCTGGGCCAGGGTGAAGTCACCATGAGTTTTATCTGGGTCTCACACAGGTGTAGAGGCCCAACTACTTGGGCCATCTTCCACTGCTTTCCCAGGCCATTAGTAGGGAGCTGGATCAGAAGTGGAGCAACAGGGTCTTGAACTGGTGCCCCTATGGGATATCAGTGTCGTAAACAGTGGCTTTACCCATTATACCACACCAGCCCCTCCCCCTGTGAATGCGTTAGTGTGTATGTGTGTGTGTGTAAAGTTAAACATAGCATAGATGTGCAACTCAGTGCCAATAAATCCCCTGACATGCTTGTACTGCAGTCACCACCTTCCCACCTGCTGAGACTGCAGCAAAGTCTGCACACATTGAGAACTGCCGCCCGCCTCTCCTGGGCCCGCCAACCAGCCTCTGGCAGGCACCGCCACCTGCCTGTAACTCCGGTCCCTGGAAGTGGAGCGTGCATGAGGTTTCAACAACCACCTCCTTGGGCAGGCAGCTTCCTATACCAAGTTGGTACCTGTGGAGTAGACCTTCCTAGCTAATTTCAAATCATTGCAGGCGATTTTTTTTTTCCTAGTCTTCTCAGGTGCTTTCAAATGACCAAGCCATTTCCCATCTGAATTTTTCTGTTTGGTTTGTTGTTTTGTTTTGTTTTTGCAGAATGAGCAGGCTTTTGAAGAAGTTTTCCAGAATGCCAACTTTCGATCTTTCACGTTCCGGATCCGGGTCAAACTAGAGACCTACAACGTACGTGAGGTCATGGGCCAAGAGCAGGGATTGGCGGGAGGCTGCCATTTGGTGCTGCTGGCATCAGCCCTGTCAGCTGTCAGTGAGTTGCTGCCCACCCCAAGCCCAGTGTGTGGCCATTAGTCCTTGAGGCTTCCCAACACAAGGAACCGTTCCTGTCCATGTGTTATTAGGCCTTCCTGAATAGGAAACAGACTTAGAGAGGCTGCCTGCCTGGGGTGGAAGATGCCCTGTAGCCTCTTCTGTTAAAACCAGGTACTTTTGTTCTGTGGAGTGATGCAAAATGTTGAACGTGGTAGACGCACACTCCCATCTCTCCCCTCCATCCAACACACATTTAAGGAAGAGACTACGTGTGGTGAAAGCTACTTGCAAAGCTGCGAGTCACGACAGAGCAGCGTTTCCTGAGCCCCGTCTGCCACTTGCATTTGCACCCTTGGCCTCACGTACCTCAGCTCACTGGGGAGGGTGCTGCCAACGTGTGGGAGCTGTAGTCACCCTTCTCTGAGTGAAGACATGTGGACTGACATGGGGTACAGGGGTTGCTTGCCCAAAGCCATCAGCTAACAAGTGCCAGAGATGGGGACCTGACCCAGGCGGCCCCGCATGAGAGCTATGCTCCTAGGCGTGCTGCCCCTGCAGCCTCCAGTCATCACCCATTGTGCTGCTCAGACACAGAATAGTTCCTTTCTGTACATGAAGGTAGTGGGCAGTGAGGATGCTGGAAACACCCACTTGTTCAGACATGACTCATTCTGCTATTGTCAGACCTTAACCTATTGGTAAATGTGTTTGTGATAGAGACAAGGGCTCAATGCCAATCAGTGGGATCGGGTGTCAGGCAGTGGGAGGTTGGGGATACTTGTAAAGTTATTCAACCACCTCTTGATGGAAGTAGTAGGGAAGGTGGAGTGTGGAGATGTCCCCTCCTGCAGAAATGGGACCCAGATTGGAGCCACTGCCTTGCTGTGTCTGCTTTTCGCTTTGCAACAACTCAGCTTTTCCTGAGAGTGAGTTGTGTTTGAAGAACTAGCTGTGTGACTCTGGGCAAGCCACTTATCCTCCGTGGGCTCCTGTTTCCTCCCCTGTCGAGAGAACATAGTCAACGAGAGAAGTCCTCCCAAGTACTGGTTTGGACTGTGGGTCTCCTGTGTGTTTGGGAGCCTAAGGAAAGGATGAGAAGGGCCAGGATGGAGGAGCATCCAGCCATGCTCCCTGCCCCCTGGGGTGTTCCTAGTAGTTGTATAAGCTAGGAGCACAGCATGGCTGCAGGCTCTCCTGCTGGGCCAGGGGCTTATCACAGCTCCACACTCCAGGCTTTGTCGTTCACCCACCCTCTTCTCCTCCCCAAGGATGAGTCTCGAATTAAGGCCACCGTGATGGACGTGAAGCCCGTGGACTACAGAGAACATGCCAGAAGGCTGATCATGAACATCAGGAAGAATGCAGTGATGTGAAGAGAGAAGCGCGGGTGGGGCAAGAAGGCAGAAAACCCAGAACTGAGATGAAGTTGACCGGGTCCCCACCCATACCCCGACCTCGCTGGGATCTCAGCCGCACGAACTCTGAGCAACTTCCTAGGTGTGTCCTGGAATCCATAGGAAAATGCAGGAAGGGTCCTCAGATGGCTGCCGTGCGACCCATGTCGGCCCCAGAGGGCAGCTGCAGGTGTGTGTGTGCCCGTCACGGCCTGGTCCTCAGGGTTCTGTTGATCGTGTTTAGATTTCAGCAACTGCTAGCAAGAATTAGGTCGCAAGTGATTGACCCTCAGTCTGTGGGCGGAGGAATCAACGATGTGACGAGGGCTTTTCTTCTGCCACGGTGGCACCTGCCTTGCCCGGCCTCATTCCTGGGGGACTGGTGTGGAGCAAGGGCGTCTCAGTAGGAGTCGAGCTCGCTCTGTCTCGCGGTGCCACACCACCACTGAGGCTTGAAATGGCAGTAGGGTAGAATTATTAATCAAAGGCATATCTTTTATATCTGAAGAATGTGCTTCCTTCAGGGCTTAATAGATTAATAGACTGAGTCAGATGGGTCTGATATTAATCAAAATTGTCCCTTCTGAGGATGGCTGATAAGATTGCCTTGCTGTCCCCCGGGGGCACCAGGGCGACTACAAAGCAGGGCTGGTGTGTTGGCCTCAGTTCCCGGCGCGGCTTGGTTGGTGAACACACTTTCTCTGCCTGTATATAGTTCCTGCACGTGTGTGTTTTTGTTTCTTGATGAAAGCTTTGTTAAAAAAAGAAGGGTTTGGAAGGGAGAGGCTCTTTGTTTCCCTTGCTCTGTCTTAATAAACAGTATATTTTCTGCTTGTGAATCCTACTTTGAGTGAATGCAGAAGGGTTCTTGTAACTGGAAAGCAATTAATTAGCCTGCATAATAACTGTTCACTTGGGAGAAATGTTAACTCATTACTAACCTGGAGATTAGTCCAAGGCATGGAGATCATTGTTAATGTCTGCAGCCCTGAAATAAGTCATTCAAAGAATAAAAACACAAAAAACAAAACAGTCACGGTGCCCAGGAACACAGATCAAGCACTTTGGGATGTTACTGAGTTGACACAGCAGCCTGGCAGCGACCAATCTTTGGCTGGGCTTCGATCAGCAAGGGCACACTCAGCCCTCACGGCCCGTCCGAGGGTCCAGGCAGTGTTGGAGTCAGCCTGTGACTGGCTGCCGCTTGGAGTGGGCATACCCTGCCCGCGCCACACTGAGCTGTCCTAGCCGGAGCCAGCCAGCCCAGGACGGGAGACTCCATTGCTGGAGAGCACACACAAGGTACTTCCTGTACAGACAGGTGCCTCCGTGCCCATCTCTGGTCTCAGGAGTTGGGCTGCACCTCATCTCTACCAGAGATTTCCCCCAGCGATTGTTCTGGAAGCTTTTTTCCAACTGGCCCTGCTTAGAAAACCTGGACTAGGAAAGGACAGTCTTTACCACAATTCTGGATTGACAGGTGGCAGGACTGGAATGATAACCTAGCTTTCTGTCCACAAGTCCAGCACTCCTGTCGCCCTGCCAAGAGCCCTCTGCCCAGGCGGGAGGACTGACTAGCAGGACCATTGGGAGATATGAAGAGGGCTCCATGCCCAGGCCCTGCGCCTGCCCTGTGTCCAGTGCAATGGACCCAACCCACTACTTGGGTGGGACTGGAAACCAAGGACAGCTCTCCCGCCCCAGTGGAGCAGCATGGAAAATTGGCTCCAGTGTGGGGCTTTTACGAGATGGAGATCTCTGGGGATCGCCTAGTGGGATTCTGGCTCACAGTCCTTAACCTCCTCTCAGCTCCAGCTTACCTGGAAAGGCTGTTCCCATTGTTGTATTTCTCCTCTCGCACCGAGATCAATGTTTATTTTGCGTGTACCATGACATCACATCAACGGCAAGCAATTAAAAAATCTAATCATTTTGCCTTTATTTTAAGTGGTTCTTGAATTCCCTCCAGTCTCATTATGTAAGAGGCAAACAAAAAAATAAAAGCAATAATCTGATTTCTGTCCATATTTCCAGTGTTTTATGCTTCCCATTAAAGCCTTGTTAATCTCTAGTGTGCTGTGGGGTTTTTTTTTTTTTTTTTTTTTTGGAACTGCAAGATCAAAATTATCCCTTTTTCTGCCCCACCCCCACCCCCGAGTGGTATATCTTGGAAAAGTATAAATAATATTGATCATAGTCTAATACACTAATGAAACCCACAGTTATTGACTACATAATGAATACACCATCTAAAAGTGAAGCCTGGTACTTCAATACAGGAAGGCTTATATTGACCCATGTGCCTTTGGCAATGTGTCCAGCAAGGCTTTATGGAAATGAAGCAGGCTGTGGGGCGTCCTGCCTCACCTGCCGAAAGCCACAGTCCCCAGCAGGTGGATTGTTTTGTCTCAGGGAGGACCCTACCCTCTCCCAGCTCTGCCTGCTTTGTGAGTCCACTCTGATGGGAGAGTGCAGACTTTATAAGCTCCTTGGGAATAATCACTGGATTCAAGAAGAATAAAGATTTGTTTTATTTTTTATTGGAAAGTAGATATACAAAGAGGAAGATCTGTCTGATGATTCACTCCCCAAGCAGCCACAATGTCAAAAACCAAGAACCAGGAGCCTCTTCCGAGTTTCCCGTGCAGATGCAGGATCCCAAGGATTCGAGTTGTTCTCAACTGCTTTCCCAGGCAGGGAGCTGGATGGGAAGCAAGGCTGCCGGGATTAGAACCAGCGTCCATATGGGTTCCTGGTGTGTGCAAGGCAAGGACTTTAGCCAGTAGGCTACTGCACCAGGCTGTAATACTTTATTCTCATTTGGAGTGCTTTTAGGGATACACAAAAACCTCAGCCTAGTGTATATAGTATGTTAAAATTAGTGGTAAATACTGGTAATGTGTATTCAACAAAGACCATTTGGGCCATTGTGGTTTTTATTTTGAGAAACAGCTTCCACACAGCGGTTCATTTCCCATAAAGGCCTGCATTGACTGGCTCTGCATCCCTGTCTCCCACATGGATGGCAATAACCAATCGCTCGGGCTGTCACTGCTGCCTCCCCAGCACGAGTTAGAATGCTGGAGCCTAGTACCGAACCAGATGCCCTGATACGGCATGCAGACATGTGCTCCATTCAGTCTCACCCAACCCTAGTTGTTGGAGGCATCTGGGGTGTGAACCAGCAGGTGGAAGACCTTTTCTCTGCCTGCCTTTCAAATAAAAAAAAAAAAATTAAGAACCCACCTCTGCCCCTCCTTTTCTTCATTGTGATCCAATCAAGATCTTTAGGATTCTTTTTTTTAAAAAGATTTTATTTTTATTGCAGAGGCAGATTTACAGAGAAAAGGAGAGACAGATCTTCCATCTGCTGGTTCACTCCCCAAGTGGCTGCAATAGCTGGAGCTAAGCTGAACTGAAGTCAGGAGCCAAGAGCTTCTTCCGGGTCTCCCACGCATGTGCCGAGTGCCAAGGCTTTGGGCCATCCTCAACTGCTTTCCCAGGCCACAAGCAGGGAGCTGGATGGGAAACAGAGCAGCCAGGATATGACCCAGCATTCATATGGGATTCTGGTGGCTGCAGGGCAAGAATTTATCCACTAGGCTATTGTGTCAGGCCCGAGGATTCTCTCAATTTACTTATCTGAAAGAGATCTCTCCAGTATACTGGTCTACTTCCCAAATGCCCACAACAGCCAGGGCTGGGCCAGGCTGAAGCCAGGAGCCAGGAACTCCATCCAGGTCTGCCATGTGGGTAACGGGTGCAAGTCCTGGAACCACCACCTGCTGCTTCCCAGAGTACACAGCTGGAAGCTGGGTCTGACACAGGATGTGGATGTAAGAGAAGAGAGGCAGGCACCCACCAGTTCATTCCCCACAAAGCCCTCCACAGCAACAGCTCCCACATGGACGGTGTCTTCCACTGCTTCCCCTCGTGCATTATCAGGGAATTGGATCCGAAACGGAATAGAACCAGCGCTGCAACATGAAATACACATGTCACAAGTGGCGGTTTAACCCAGCTGCAGTGTCCGCCTGGGACCATTGTTTCCTTGGTAAGTGATGCATGTTTGATTTAGAGAAAGAATTTACAGATTTAAAAAAAAAAAGTGCCATAATCCCACCCACCAGCAATGCTATTTGCATGGTGGATTCCCTTCTCTCTATATATGTGTGTCTGTGTGTGTGTGTGTGTGTGTGTGTGTGTGTGTGTGTGTGTGTGTGTACGGATAAGGATAATTTTAATAAAAACCAGGACTATGTTACACATACCATTCCATAATAGCTTTCTCCTCACATTGTAAGACGTAGGTCATCTGTTTCAGTGCAAATGGATCTGCATCATAAATGGTGTTTGGCTGTAATCGACTAGCGTTCCTGCTCTCGTGTCTTGATTCCAGGCTCAGGCTGTGATGGGCAGGAGCCTTGAGCAGGACCCGTCCCATCCGGGGCGCTCTAAGGACGTGCGCCTGCCTTTCCTGTTCTGATGAGCTCAAGATTGTGTTTCCTTTGCCTCCCTCTGTCGAGAACTCACCTAAGCCTGTTCCCACTGGGCTGGCAACTGGCCTTAGCTGACACATAGAAGCAGGTGGATTCATAAGGGGAGATGGAAGGGGAAGAAAGGCCTGAGAACTATCCACAGCCTCGCCCACCTGCCCCAGGAATGAGGTTGTGGCTTGTTATTTGTTAAGACTTAGAGAGAGGCTCAGTGTGTTGCCCTAGTGGCTTAAGTCCTCGCTTTGCATGCACTGGAATCCCATATGGGCACCAGTTCTAACCCAGTAGCCCCGCTTCCCATCCAGCTCCCTGCTTGTGGCCTGGGAAGGTGGTTGAGCCTTGGGAATCCTGCACCTGTGTGGGAGACCCAGAAAAAGCTTTTGGAAAATGGCTTACTTAGCATTGGCTCAGTTCTGGCCATTGCGGCCACTTGGGGAAGAGTGAATCATTGGACGGAAGATCCTCTCTGTCTCTCCTCCTCTCTGTATATCTACTTTACAACAAAAATAAATAAATCTTTTTTAAAAAATTAGAAAGATCCTCCATCTGCTGGTTCACTCCCCCAATGGCTAAAATGCTGGAGCTGAGCTGATCCAAAGCCAGGAGCTTCTTCTGGGACTCCCACATGGGTGTGTAGGATCCCAAGGCTTTGGGCCATCCTGTACTGCAGTGTAGCAGCCTGGACAGGAACCAATGCTCTTATGGGATCCTGGTGCTTGCAAGGGGAGGATTAGCCAAATAAGCCATTGCGACAGGCCCCAAAATGCACATCTTAAAAATATAAAATAAGGGCCAGATGCAGTGGCCTGACGGCTAAAGTCCTCACCTTGAACGCGCCAGGATCCTATATGGGTGCCAGTTCCCATTCAACTCCCTACTTGTGGCCTGGGAAAGCAGTTGAGGACGGCCCATAAAATAAATAAACATAATAAAAATTTTAAAATATAAATAATTTATTTATTTTTATTGGAAAGGTGGATATAAAGAGAGCAGGAGAGACAGGGAGGAAGAACTTCCATCCACTGATTCGCTCTCCAAGTAACCGCAATAGCCAGAGCTGAGCCGATCCAAAGCCAGGAGACCAGAGCCTCTTCCGGTCTTCCATATGGGTGCAGGGTCCCAAGGCTTTGAGCCACCCTCTACTGCTTTCCCAGACCACAAACAATGGAGCAGCTGGGACAGAAAGTGGTGCCCATATGGGATCTTAGCAGATGCAAGGTGAGGATTTAGCCATTAGGCTACTGCACCAGGCCCAGAGCTGTCATCTTTTGCACTATCAGACTCTTGCATTGGACTTGTCATGAGCGATTGTGACTTACCAGTGAGCGTGCAGGTGTACCTGA